CATGGCACCGCACCTGATCGGGATGTTCAACTGCGGGAAGATGCTCCCGCCCCAGCTAAACTTGGTCCTGGAGATCGAGTTTGCCGAGCCGGGACGGCGTGGGCTCGAGCCTGTCGTATCAGATCGAAAATGTGCACCTTTTGGCCGATCAGGTAACTCTCGATACTGTAGAGGCCTAGGTGGGACAGGGTTTTGGGGCACGCTGTGGCCTGATAATATAAGGTCCGCTTACTTGTGCCGTGGTACACCCTTTGTGTGAGCACGCTTCAAGGACCTCGTGCAATCCTGCATAAGCCTTGCCTGTCCGTCATCTCTTTCTATGGGGGGGTGTGTTGCTATGACGGATTGCCGTCCATTGCAGTTGCATTATGTTGCAGGGTGTGTGCACCCACACTTTCATGTTCGACTTCTCGTGACATACCCCGCTTGGCATCAAGAAAGAAAGGACCGTGCTTCGTTGCATGCTCATGTCTTCACATTTCTGTGCTTGTAGGGTGCGTGGTGTGTGTACCTTAACAGTTGGAAATAAAGAAGCTTTCTCGCTTGCGAGACAGCTTTTATTTCCAAAACTGTTTTCTGACAACTGAGTGAGTGCATTGCATTTTTGAAGCATGTTCTTTTTGTGCAGACCATGACCTCCGTCCCTTGCAGTTTTGGCTGTGTGCAGCTCGGATTTTTTTTTTGTCCCGCCCGCCAGCCCTGAGGGGTGTGTTGCGATGACGGATTGCCGTCCATTGCAGTTGCATTATGTTGCAGGGTGTGTGCACCCACACTTTCGTGTTTGACTTCTCGTGACATACCCCGCTTGGCATCAAGAAAAGAGAGGACCGTGCTTCGTTGCATGCTCATGTCTTCACATGTCTGTGCTTGTAGGGTGCGTGGTGTGTGTACCATAACAGTTGGAAATAAGTACAATGCAGCGCGCGTGCCGTCAAAAGGACAACACTGCTCACACACACACACACACACCCGACTACGTTGTAAAATGTGCTGTCCATGTTCACACTGTCCGCCTGTGCTTCTCGAGACTTGGTTGTCGCGAGTTATTGCAATGGTACCTTGCTTGTACATGTCCCGCCGTCGTGAGCATTCTCATCGGATCAAGTTCAACATGTGTTGTTGTGCAAACATGAAGCCGAGTTCCAAACATTGAAATCTCGTTCGTGAGTGATCGCTGACAGTCTAGCAACGATTTGTCGGTTGTCGTGTGCACAGGTGACAGGTTGTGACATTGTTCCTTCATCGAGTGCATTGCCGGCCATGGATGTCAGTTCAACTATCGCGAGAGCAACATTTCAAAGGATGCACGCCGCCAGCATGAACACACAACATGACATAGTCGAGTCATCAAGTTGCAATTAGGATATACGCACCTCCAGCCGCAAACATCATAGGCGAACCTTGCAGATGGCTGCGGCTTTTCGGTGGAGAGCCACTGCCTTGCCCAGGCCATGCCAAGCGCTGTGAGGTTTCATGTGACGAGACGCCATGGAGTCGACAACGTCAAGCCAGTTCGTTCAGCACATTGAAAACCTTAGCAGCAACTCGCTTGTTCTTGTCTGAATGAGGCTTCCGAGCTTTGTAAACCATGGAAATGGAAGGCGAAACAGCTCATCGGCGCAGGCGCCGCTGTTTTGTTTTTTTGGCACAGGGGCTTTGTGTCGGTGGTGTCGTGGCATGTCGTGGCTCAAAGGCCGCGAGGCAGGTTAGGCGGCTTGTCAGGGATTTCTGTGCATTGTTTCCGGCATTTCCCCTCTGCACCTCCGAAGTCGGTCACGACGGACTTGCTTGATGTTGGCGACTGCAGAAAGTTTGCTGCCCAAAGATGATTTCAGGATTGTCCTCAAGATCTTCGGAAGGGCCAGTTTTTCGAAATGCTTAAAATGCAGTCGTCCGATGTGCTGTATCACGACAGACCTGTGCAACGGGCTCAGTCGAAACACCTATCAAACATCGAAGGTAAAGACTTAGACTCAAGCAAAGCCTTAGTTGGGTCATATGACCATGTGACCTGTGTCGCCGAACTGAGATCAAAGCTTAGAGCTGCATCTTGGGACCGATCTGCGACAACAAGTAAGCTCACACAGGCAGCTGCTGAGCAGTCGCAGCAACAGCAGATGAGCATGGGCGGGCGGGCATGACTGAGTGAATCCGAGCAGACATCGGTAAAGCGGCAGAACTGTTGATATGTCTGCAGTCTTGGCCCAGTGCAGAGTAGGTTGAAGTAATTGTTGCTATGGAGATGGGTGTCCATGCCACCAACCTGTTCGCATTATTGCAGCTCCGCCACGTGCAGGCCAAAGGCTTGAGATCATGCTTCCAACGGAGCCGCTCCTGGGTGGATCGATTTGAGGTGACATCTGTGTTGAATGGCCACAGGGGCTGCGTGAATACCATCCGCTGGTCCTCAGATGGTGAGCTTCTGGTAAGTGGGAGCGATGACATGATGATTCATCTTTGGAGGCTCGGCCCACATCTTTCCGGCCATGGAATTCGCCCGTCGGCCTGTCTTCCAACATTGCACCGGCACAACATTTTTGACGCGATCATTACTGGCGACATGCAGAGCATTGTGTCTTGCGGGGCTGATGGCTATGTGTGCCTTACAGACATCTACAGTGGACAAAAGATGAAACTGTTCGAGCCTGACAGAGGCCATTTTTTTGCATTCAAAATCGCCACTTTGCCGGATTCTTTGGGCCGCACCTTCTTTGTCAGTTGCAGCGATGGCTGTGTTCGCCACTTTGATTTGCGACAGGATGACCATGCCATCGCCGTCAGCACAGGTGGAATCGGATTGGCAGGACTGTCAGTGAATCCCGCTAGAACTGACACTATCGCAGTGGGTGGCAACGATCCGTTCTTGCGGATTTATGATATTCGCACCTTACGTATGCATCTTGAGTCCGGGGCTGCAACAGACATGCCGTTGACTCCAGCGGTCTCGCTACATTCAACGGAGAACATGATTCGAAAACATCGCTACGGCATGGCGTCAAGTTTGTTTTCTCGATCAGAGGTGGGCATATCTGGAGTTTGCTGGAGCATTTCTGGCCAGTCCCTTCTGGCCAATTATCGAGGTGGCGAAATCGAGCTTTTTGACATAGGACCGAGCGCAACTAGTGAGACCGATGTCGCAGTGGCTGAGAAGACGACGCACATCTCGCTACGAAGCGAAGCATGCAGCGCAGTGACCTTGCCGGCGTCCTTTGTTCTCTTAAGCTCACGACGGTCGTTTGAGGGTAGACCCAACGAAGAAACTTGTGCAAAAGAAGTTCAATTTATGTGTGGAGAAGCTGCATTGGGCAGCGGAGGAGACTGTGGCAATTTCTATGTGTGGGATGTGTCGTCAGGCGGGTTGCTCAAGAAACTCAGAGCAGATCGACACATTGTGAATTGTGTGGCACCACATCCAACGTGGCCATTGGTCGCCACATCAGGAATCGATTCGGAAATCAAGGTTTTCGATGTTGCTGATGTGAACGTGAGGGTGCCAAGAAGCGGCTCCTCTAGCGGCACCGCCGCGTCTCAGTCTCAGGAAGCTCAGGAGACTGGCTCAGGGACTTCGCCCTCGCCCTCGGACTCAGACCCATCCCCCGGGCTACCAGCGACTCGGCATGCGGAGACGGAGCTCGCATGAAGCTATTCAAATTCATATTCATATTGACTCATAGTCCAGGTCCACTTCGCTATGTGCTGTCTCATCTAAGGAACATCCTGATGTGGCCTTGCAGGAGGCGGCAGTGAAAGAAGCGACGGCCTTCAGACGACAAGGCAACGAAGCAGTCGGGCAAGCAGACTGGATCTCAGCGCTGGCATTCTACGACCAGGCCCTGCAGCGCCTACGCTTCGAACCAGGCGGTACGTTGCGCAGCGAGACAGAAAGTTTAGAGCTTGATGTCCGGCTACGCTGCGCGTTCTGCAGCTTGAATCTGGAAGAATTTGATTCTGCCGTTGTGCACTGCAACCGTGTGATCCAACTCGATGCGAACAATACGCAAGCATTCTGCAGACGAGCGGTTGCACATGGTGGGATGCTTGACTTCGCTGCAGCATACTCCGACATAGACGCTGCTGCAAGCCTGGCTCCTGAAGACTCTGACATCGCCCGCATACGGTCAAGGTTGAAAAAGCACGAGAAGCGCCAATTGAAAGGTTGGCGCCGATAAGTGCAGAACTGTACAGAGTATTCCGACAAACACCGTGCTGCGGAACGCACGATGCCGGCTTCGTGCGTGATGGAAAGTCACACTTTGGTGTTCAACCTGCTGAAGACGAAACAATCCAACAATACGTCCATGTGGACTGCCACCAGCGGCAGCTGCACAGCAACCCTGATCACCGGGATTGACATGGCTCGTGGCCGCACCATGTCGCAGCAGGTTCATGTGGGTTCGAGCTCACCTCTGCCAGTGAGCTTGTGGTGGCAACGTATGTCTGCAAGATGTGCAAAAGCCGGTACCCACGTATCAATGCTTCGGGTCCCTTGTGATCAGCATAGACGATGAAGGAAGACTCCCTGCGTCTGCGACCACATGGTTTGAAAAAGCCGAAAATTGCGTGCTGGATGCAGAGGTCTGGGGTTGGATCATCTCGTGAATGCAGCTTTAGTTCCAGTCTCAGCGAGTTGCAAACGGCGAAGCATGCATTCCTACTTTGCGCAGGCAATGCATCTTCTTCGCAACCTGGAAGACAGGTCCTGCTCAGCCGCGGGGAGTGCTTTTGGCCGAATCATCTGGACAAGATTGTGACTCACCACGTCGGAGCGTGTTGTAGAGTCTTTCGGCAGGCATTTGGCTGGTTGGCACACATTGAGCTGTCTCTACTCGTCAGGGATTTGAGTGCCAGTGCAAGAACTCAGAGCAGAGATGTTGGGGGAGGAACGAAACTTGAAAGAGGCGGTTGCTGCTTGAAGCACTGGTGCCGCAGAAAGCGGGCCCGGCTTGCTTACAGTGCAAAGTACCAAGTTACAGCAGATAAGCAAGAGAATATGGCACATCCTAGTCTCTGATGCACGCGCCGTCTTGGCTCACAGAATCGAGAGATGGGCGTGCTTCGAACACAGGGTTTGCTCTGTTTCATGTTTTTCGGCATGCGTCAATCCCCTTTACTGTTACCTAATTGTGTAAGCAGCTGGGTCATTGTCAGTCGAGGATGCATGTGGCGCTTTACAGATATGTCATTGCCAACCTTTCACGGTTTCAGCCCCGAGACCCGTTACTTGCTAATGCATCTGCGGAACCATGACAGTCCAAGTCTTCATGGTTTTGCTCCAATGCTGCCTTTGGGTCTCCCTGGGCAATCCTGCTCTGAAGGTGGTGCCAAACGGACCTCCGATGCCACACATGCCCAAGGGCCCGACTGCCATCAGACAGGATGTAAAAGCGGAGGGGAGAGAGAAGTCCGCTGCGATCGACGACCTGACTGCACCCAAGCATGCTGACCATGCTCAAGCAACTTCACAGAAGGCCCCAGCGGGGTCCAGCTTGAGCTTGCCCTGCGAGGACGTTTATTTATTCCACAGCCAAGTAAAGAGATCTCCTGTACTGATGTACACATCTCACATTAGCACGTGGCTGGCGAAGAGCCCTCACCAAGCAGGCGTTGCAGCTGTTGCCGTCGTTATCGGTCTTCTTTGTGCATGGAACGGCCCGCGTGTTTGGCACGCGCTTGTCATTGCAGCGTCCTCTTTAATTGTCGCATGGCTTGTCCATTTTGAAGCAGTTCTCAAGAACCTTGTGCCGAGCCTCTTTGCAGAGCTTGTGCTAACGCTTGCAGCGGCCAGTGCAGTGGCATTGGCTATGCACACTGGCTTCGAAGGCTCCCAAGTTTTAGTTGGTGCTTTTGCAGGCTTTGCTGCTGCTTCATATTGCTCAGATTGGGCGCGTACCGTTGATGACCACATTGCGGGGGCTGCACTCCTCTGGTATTGCTTCGGGGGGGCCTTTGGCACATGGATTCTGCTTGCCTGGAGAAGGGAACTTCTCTCCGCTGTTGCACCGCTGTTCGGAAGCTTCTTGGTGGTGTCGGGATCGGGCAGCTTGCTTTCACGAGCGGTTAGTTTGCCGTGTTTGCCACATATGGGCGTGTGGTCAGTGGATGCCTTGGTACTACTGGGACCAGCCGGGACACACGCGTTGGCATGGCACATGCTTTGCATACTTCTAGCTGTGTCCTGTCAGCGCAGTGGTCGTCCTGTCCTTGCATTGTCCTCTTTGGTCGCATTCACCAGCTTGGTAGCTCTGGGAGCTCTGCTGGCTGGAATTCAATGTCACAAAAAAGACAGGCGTGCTGATGGCACTCGCTGCCCAGCGTTTCTGGCTGTTCCCGACAATTGGCAGTGGCAGCTTTCAGGGTGCACAGCCTGGGTCATGTTGACGTTGGTCTCTGGGTGGAAGCAAATCGTCAGCAGCCCTCCAACTTCAGGTGCAGAACAAGGTCGGGGAATATTTGATTCTCGTGCCCGTGGAATCTATGTGCCTGTGGAAGAGGTCTCGACTGAAGACGGTCTTGCTGACAAAGTAGACCCACTCAAGACTCTGTTGCCCTCTCAGCAAAGCGCCCATGGAAGCCCAGGGCTTGAGAAGCCTCTGACGCTTTCTGGCTTCGTGCACTCAGTTCATGCACGGCGACTGGGCGGGGAGCCCTAAGCCTCCAGGAGGGTCCACAAGCGGCCCGAAGTTGCCTGCGGGCCAAAGTGCCACTGCTATTTCATACCAACAGATCACTGCAGCACTCGCAGAGCTAATGCTGATGCTCGTAGAGTGTAGACCCCAAGTGCCACCTTTCGCATCTCCAGGCAGTGAAGGCCGTTGCTCCTCAGTTTCAGATCAGTATTGGTGATTCGATGGGAGCGGCCACGGCATTTCGGAGCTGCGAGGCAGAGGGCTCTGCAACAGAGAGACGCAGATAGAGTGTGTCTGTCAGCACCATGTTACACAACTGACTCGCGATGCTGGCAGGCTGCAGGAGCACCGATGCCGGCTTTCTACCGGGCAGTATTGCTGATGAGGCCAGTGCAGTGACAAGAGTCGCCTGATTTTCGGTTCCTCGACTCCCACACGAGTCCCTGCACCTGTCCTTTGGGCTGTGAAGCCGGGAGACTGACGGATCCCTATACTGTTGTTTTTCAATCAAGCCGGTGCAGGCAGGATCCAGCGAAAACGAACAGACATGGGAGGCTTTTTGTCTGGACGTGATACTGGCCAGACCCATTGTTTTGGACTATTCTGTCGTCCTTAACAAGTGAAGAACAAAACACGTGAATCAACTCGACACCGAGCCACTTGTTCATTCGGATCATTTGCGTGTGTAGGGATCGTGCGACACCAATTCGTGCGTTTCCACGTTCCCATGCTGGTCGGTACAGATAGGGCATCTGAGTTATGTTCCTGCATCGCCATCACCATCATCATCATCGAGAATGTGGGTGGATGGCTGCGGGCGAAATTCAGTTTTTGCCAGCTCGATACCATTATCTAGAAGACATCCGCTTTTCGTTTTCGGGGAGTTGTTGCGGGTGGGGCAATGAATGTCTCGTAATTTCTAGGTGGGAACTTTGTATAGGTTTGGTTCTGGCCGACCTCTATCTTGAGTTCGAGGCGTTTCGTTCTGCACCCGTTCTTTGGGGCAGTTTCGGGTGTTTGTGCTCAGCACATCTGATGGATCAGAACCGCATGTGGTTTACAGATCAGCAGCTCCGAATCGAAGGCTCTCGCGAGAGAATCTCCTTCATACTGCGTGATCGCACGAAAACAACGGAGTCAAGGACACCAAAATGTCCGAAAGACTTGCAGCCGTCTGCTTGAAGCCTGAGCTTTCAGTGTCACAGTGTCAACCTTCAAAGCTTGAAATGACCGACTTAAGAGGGCAGCATCGGGAAATGGCGCAAGAAGCCTTCCGAGTCCGAGCAGTCGACAGTGCTGTGACGAATTCATGGACCGCGAGAAGAAGATGATCATGTCAATGAAAAGAAATACAAAAAGCAAACAACTTGGTGGAGCGCTGGATCAGGCGCGAGCTGCTGAAATGGGCTTCGGTTCCGGGCTCAGCAGGCCTTGATTCCGGATACGTCAATACGCGTGCGGCACGACACAAGGCCCCCTTTTCCACTTCCGGCCGTGCCGCTTCCTTGGATGCAGCACGTGGGGCAGCTCTCTGTGCGCAGCTCTGTCAGACGTGACCTGGCGTAGGCATGAGCAGTTGGGCCTGTTTCGAATTTCAGTGCTGTGATATTTGTGCTCTGAACCTGTCGCTCCGCACCAGTTCAGGCATCCGGTTGCCCCTCAGCGTCGCGATGCAGGCGTTGCGGAACATGCGTTGGTGAATGCAACCAATTGTTTGGGCCAGACATGGAATTGAAATCGGAAGATCCATGAAGATCCCGGACTTGCGGACTCTGAAAGCCATGCAAAGTAGGCTTTCGCGGGACTTGGCTTGGAACCCCTGCACAGGTGACCGTGCCATCTTTCGAAGGCTCCAGCGCCCTGTGCAGCAAGCACTGCAAGGCACTGCAAGGTCCAGACATGAAGTCCCCGAGCTCTTGTGTCAAGTTCATACTCGTCTTCCTGCAGCTTTGCTGGGTGCCTGGCGGCCGCCCGTGCTTCGGCAGCGTCACCTCCAGACCTCGCACAACATTGCAGACAGGCGCCGGTAGAGAGGGCTGAAGAGCTGTGTTGCTCTTGGGCAGCTTTAGGCTGCAGTAGAAGTAGTAGGTTAGTGGCATGGCTTGATTTTGTTGTTGCTTTCCGGATTCGTGCAGCATCACTTTATGTGGGCAATGCAGCAAGGCAGATTCAGTGCGCTAACGAACATCGATCTCTGTCATCATTGTTTGAAAGTTGGAAGGTTCAGACCCGCGTTGCAAGAGGAAATCTCCGTTCGACTGTCACCCTTTCTTGTGCCGGGGGAAAGTCTGTCTGTTGGTGAGGATAGGCTCCAAAAGACATCAGCGACACGAACAGGTCAACCAAATGCTCTGCAACCGGCTTTGAGCCACAGTCTCTCACCAGGCGACGCGCACACCTAAACACACGTACTGAATGCAAGGAGCTAGTATGACGGCAAAGCATTTGTCGTGTTGATGTGTTGGAAGCCTCAAAAAGGAAACGGTTGGCTTTTCAGTCGTGAGTTCCTGCAGCTTCCTGCGAGGCAAGAGGTGCTCCGCCTGGTAGCGGCCATTGATGAAGGCACGGAATTGCTTGACTAGCCTTCGGCCAGCAGACTTGATACCTGAAAGGCTTCGGGCGAGAGCTGCTTGCCGAGCTCCGGATTGTCGCAGCGACCCAGCACGCTCTGCAAAGTAGCAAACACGGGGCAAAGATTTCCAAAAGTCATGACGGCAGGCATAGAGGTAGTATGAGTTGCCTGCAGGGCCTCGCTACCCTGGATCAAGCGGGCTTTGGTCGCACTCACCTTTGCTTTGCGGCGGCGTGGTTGCAAGGAAGCAAGCCAACTTCTCCAGGACGCCTCACAGCCGTCGCATGTTCACAGCACACCACGACGACGAGAGAAGCCACTGGTGCACTGCAAATGACCAGACCAACTTACACTCGCTACGGCCGAAGACTTGCCACTACCGTTTGCACTATCACAAAGGGTCAGGAAATTGATGAAGACCCGACAGATTGCGTCAATGCGGTCATCATTAGTGATCTTACGGTGGCCAGCATGGGTGGTCACCAATCATGGTGGCCAGGGGGATTTGTGATTGCTAAAAAGTCAAATTCTGTCGTCCTAAAGATTAGAATATGTCAATCTCGCAGACCATGCCCCGGGCTTAAACAGCGTTGACAGATTCTTCATCGTCTACAAGCCCACCCTCACACTACGGAAACAATTGGTCAGTTTGGCTTAGCCTCTGGCCCTTTGCTCACGGCAAAACGTAACTACGTCAGGCCCTGAAGTCATGAACTCTTGCCAGAGCATGGATCGTGAGGTCTTCCCCGCATGTATCAAAGTTAGTTTGCACTCATGCTTGACTGGATGATATAGTGATGATTGTGGTAACGAGCATGAAGTGCAGGGTTCCAAGTATACCAGACACGTGGATTTGCATACGCAACAGAATGAGGTGATCCGTCACGGGTATGGTTTCTGCCCCTCGCTACGACAGACACAAGGGAATGATGTAGCACGAAAAAGTAATGGAAGATGAACGAAGACGAAAACGTATTCCCCAGCCGTCCATGCCAGGGCCCAGGGCTGATACATGCAGGTACCTTTGTCGGGGGTGTGGCAGAGAACTTCGTTGGGTGGAGCTTCTCCACAACTCTCCCGCCCTCTGCATAGAAAGGAAGGAGAAAGAAAAGGGGAGTGACCCCCCCATAGCCCACTAGGGCAGTTCACACACAAGGCCCGCGTGGGGCGCGACGATGAAACCAACCATTCGTGCTTATAGCGCATTCCCTTGCACTAGTGCATTGCACTAGCCCTTTACCGCGTTGGAATTCTACCACATTACCAGCCTAGGAGCAGTACACTTTACCATGTCAGACGCACGCAGACCACTCTAGATTTACCAGATGCATAATATGCCCTCCTCTCATGTGGGGTTCCATTGAATCGAAAAGAAGGTACCTTGTGCCATCGGGTGGCTGAATACCTACAGCTGAAAGAGGAGAATGGGAGAGGGAGAGAGTATATACCCGCGTGGATGTGAGGGCGCAGCCCCTTCATCAAGGACTGCTTTATTGAGACCGGCACGGTGCCGTGACGGAAAGTCGTTGAATTTGCATTCGTGGTTGGCTGCATGATGTTGGTGATGATTGTGGTAACGACAATGAAGTGAAAGGGTGTCATAATGCCAGACACAAGGAAGGGCACACGCAACAGAGTCAGATGATCTGTGACGGGTAGTTTTTCTGCCCTTTGCTACGACAGACACAAATAAGGAATGATGTAGCCAGAAGTGAGATAAAATGAAATGATATGAGGCTCCCCAAGCTATCCCCGCACGTATCCATGGGCGAGCGACGCAGGTACGTTTCCTTGGGGTGTATGGCTCCCCCACCCCCTCTGTCCCCCTGCGACTTGCGCTTGGGAGCTCATTAGCATTTTACTGCGAAGGGAGCATTACACACCTGCAGTGCTGGACCTTTACCATGTCAGATGCATATGCGGAACTGTGCACTTGCACTGCTCAAAGGTCGGAATAGGGAAGGATGGTAGAATAGATGCGCGAGACAGATTAGTGAGGTAGATGCGACACAGTCCACTGTAGATGTACCAGGTGCACATGCCCTCCTGCCGGTCCCATGAAGCAAAGAGAGGGTACCTTGGGCCATGCATCTGCGAGATGACAAATGAGGTGTAAGGGGGCGTGACCCCCGTTTGCCTATGAACGAGGGCAGTTCTCTCACACGCACACAACATAGGCGTCGTTTGTAGTCCGTGCTGTTTCGTTTTTGGGATATGAGATGCGAGCATAAGTAGATGGAACTATTGCAGCCATGTGATGGCGCAATATGTGGAGAAGTATGTGGACAGATTCATTGTTTCCCCTTTGCCAAGTTCCTTCGGTGGTGCTGATGGAAGAAAGCGTCTGCCAGAGGCAGGCATCGTGTTCGTGGAATTATGTTGTTCTTGCCGTGTCAGACTCCGCGCAGCCTCTATGCTAAAAATGCAGAAAGAGTCGATGCCATGCTCTGACGAGGCACCTTCCTCTCCATTGGGATCCGTTTGGCTCCGTCCTCACATGCAGCGAGCGGCGCAGCGGCAACCGAGAGCATCTGCGTCAGCAACACTGCCAGGCTCGAGGGAGATCTTCGCGGGCGAGCCTTTGAGGCCTTTGAGCGTTAGCCTTGCCATCTTCGCTGTAATTCTGAAGATGAGGTGAGCTTTCCTGGACAGCTTGAAGCTCGAGGAATTCCGACATCCATGCGCGAACTGGCGGGCCGAGCTGCGAGAGGCTCCAAAAGCTTTTGTGCACCCTGACACTGAATGAGCTTAAGCGATGTATGTGTCTGATCGGTGCTCGTCATGTCCAACGTCACTGCGTCCTGAGCAGCAAACTTGCTAGGCTTCTGCCTGGCTTACCATCAAAGTCTTTCGAAGCTCGAGAGCAGCATGTGCCGTGCACTGGCTTTATCCATGCAGCGCATCGCAAATGCTGGTCCTGTCAACCGAGCTTTTGGGACCAGGTACTTGGTAGCCACATGATCTGAACATATGTAGGTGCACAGACACATTGCACACACCTGCAACTGAATCATTTGCGCCACCTTCGTGATGCAAGAGCAAGACTCCATTCCAGAATTTAGACTCTTTCGAGCCCAGCTCTTCAACCTACAATCGCGGCCGAGCGCAGCTGCACGCCAATTGCTTGCGGTGCAACCAGGAGGCTGGGAGGCTGGCCTCTGCCAAAGAGGAACAGATGGGGGTGTGGTAAAGACAGCACACAAGGCTGTGATGCTTCTATTCCGGGCACAGTCGATGGCGCTCGCTGCGAGGCCTGATCGGTCTGCGATTGACGCAGCATCTTAGGGTCTTCGGGTTGCATGTGCTTAGGTTCCTTTGTTAATCCAGAGGCCCTCATGTCTGGGAGGAATGCATTGAATCCTTTGCTGAGAACCTACTGTGCTGGTGCAACTGTCAGATCTCGCTGTGCTCCAGTTTTGCAACCATTCGTGGAAGGCGAGCGCCAATCAGAATGATGATGACACGACTGCCGCGACCTTCGCAGGCATGCGGCCTAAACCGCCGAATGCAGGGCTTCGGCTCGAGAGCTCGGCAGTCTCGGAGGCTCTCTTCGGCATGCCTGTGCGCCATTTCAGTGTGATCCGACCTGGTTTACATCGACTTCTCTCAGTCTGCTTGTGCTGCCAGGCTAATCCAACAGTGTCAGATGGTTACAAGCGGTTGGCGGGTTGGAGTCAAGAACTTTATTGTCTTCGAGCGGGTTCATTGATTTTGAAAGTACACCGGCTGTCAAGATGACCGCCGAAGTGTTAGTTAGACCTGACATGGCATGGCTGCTCCATGCATGTTTCATGTCCATGCCAGGAGAAGGTCACAGGTGGACACCCGGAGTTTCAAGACAAGACCATGAACGAGGCGGTGGACCTGTCTGACCAGCCATTTCCTTCCGACCAGCTCTCATGCCCAATATGGTACACAAGGCAGCGTAAGATGGCAGCAGATCTGCATAAAGCAAAGCACTTTCATGGACAGTCATGCTTTCATTTTCCCAAACTTGCTGTGGACTGTTCTAAATCCTTAGCCTGGTGCTGAGTATTAGCACGGCGGCTTCAAGCTCCGAGTTCAAACCAGGCTGCCAGAGCCCGACAGCCACGGGCGCCGATTCTGGCGGGGGACTCGGCGACCGGCGCGAATTGAAGGTGGCGCTGAGCCCCGCGCAATTTGTGCTAAGCTTCAGCTGTGCTCCCAAGATCGTTTCGGCGATGTGCGTGATGATGATGCCCGGGTCTCAGAAGTTTCAAGTGATTCGTGCGTGGCATGGGTATGTTCCGCAGGTTCTGGTGGGCACCGGCACTATTTTCTGCGGTTGCCTTGGGCAGCGTGCTTGGTGAGGATTCCACTCACAAGGCGGCCGTTTGCACTTCCAGTGTAAGCTTAGCTGCAAAGAACTTGCTTGTTCTCAGCCTCTGAAGTGTAGTTAGTACCACGTCGGCATCTGAGATGGTTTTCGCGAAACATTATGAATAAGCGGGAGCGATGAATAATGTGCAGGACACACTGCGCATGTTGGAGGCGGTTGGTGTATATACCGCAGGAATGTGGGCACGAGCGTGCCCTTTTGAAGGATGGTAGGATTCTTTTGCCTCGCGCTTAGCCTGCCCTATGTATCCCTCTGCTTCGGAAGCAGCCGCCTTGAGTACCCTTCCGGACCTGGTGCGCTGGTACAGCGTCGCGGAGGGGGTCTGGCAGGCTTTCCTGGACCAGATCGGCGACCCCACGGAGGACTTCCGGCTCCTAGCGACGCTTCCACCAGGCGTCGTGGAAACAGCCTTGGAAAACGCCCAGCAGAGGGACGGCTCCTACCTCACGGTTATGCAGGCTACGCAGGTGGGACAAGTTTACAAACTGGCGAGGAGGAAGGCATGGGTGGCTGGGAAACCATGGGAAGACTGGGTCGAGTTCCCCATTTGGGACGCCCCGGAGTCTACGACATCCATGCCAGCCAGGCCCGCGACCGGAGCACCACAAGCCAGCGCGGTCGGGGAAAGGAAACTAAAGATGAATGGTGTTTTGGACCAGGGGGACGACTCCGAGTTCACGCTGGACGACACGAAGGATACCTTGAAGGCCTACGAGAGGTATGTCCAGGTGATGGGTGGAGCCCCCCCACCGGAGCAAGAACCCACAGCCGAGCAGCTGTCCGCAATGAGGAGGCGGGTGGAAGTGCTACAGCTTTCTCCCTATGCGGACTTCGCGGTCTGGGTTCCCTTTGCGAAGAAGAACCTGAAAGCCCTCAAGCTGAAGACTTGGACCATGCAACACGACGGCTCGTTCGTTGCGAAGGACTTGCCGGGACCACCCGACCACGCAGCATGGTTGAACAGCTTCCGGGTTTACAAGACCGCCCTGCTCATGCTTGGGGTGGTCTCCTTGAGCGTGCTCCAGGCGTACGAGGTTCATCGAGAGGGTGGCCAAGAGGTATACGGGCGCTTGGCATTTGGTTGAATGAGCCTGAAGATGAAGACGTAGATGGCCATGGCCTCGGGAAGTCAACCCCCGGACGGCTGGGACTCCGCGAGGCCCTGGACAGCCCTCATGGCCTTGTGCTCCTTCGAGACGAGCCCTTTTGGCAGGAGCAGTTGCGCCAGCCGGCTTTGACCTGGATGGCGAGAAGGATGCGTGGAAAGCCTTTGTCGCCAATGGAGTTTTACCTCGACGAGCCGCCCCCGGCCCCCGCGCACGGGGCACGAAGGACACCATGAAAGCGAGGAGGGAAGCCAGGAAGAGGAAGCGCACTTCGGAAAGAGAAGAGCTAAAGAGACTACACGCTTCAGGTACAAGCTCAAAGGGAGATGGTGGCAGAGGGGGCGAAAGAGGAGGAAAGGCGGACTCGAAGAGGAACCAGAGGTGCTTCGGGTGGAACAATGGGAACGGGCCCTGTGCTGGGCTCTCACCCGGTACTCCGTGCCAAGCCAAGGTGCCGAGAACCCCAAATATCACGATATGCGGTTTTGCGGGCCACCCAAGCAAGGACTGTCCCCAGAACAAGAAGAAATAGGTGGAGGCCCCGAGCCCTGGACAGGAGAAGCCACGGAGGGCGCCGGGAAGAAGAAGAAGAAGGCCAACCAGGACCACAAGGACACCGGGAAGGCCAGCGAAGGAGGAGGAGAGAAAGGACACGAAGGAGGAGAGGAGGAAGGGCCGCCCGGGGGCTCGGGAAGCCAAGGCGATGGCGGGGGAGCAGCGAGCTCTGGCGTCATTCCGGAGGGTCTACGGAACTTCTTCACGAGCCGGCCCTTCCTTTACCTACACACTTCTCGGGCCAGGAAGATAAGCTCGGCAAGGCCATCGAGATGAAGGCCAAAACCCGGGGCATGGTGGTGATAGTCGAGTCTGCGGATATAAAGAACGCGGTGAACTTAGCCGAGGAGGAGCCCTACAAGTCCCAACTGGAGAAGGCCAGGAGCGGTGGCTACGACGGCTACCACGCAGGCTTCCCGTGCTCCACGTTTTCAAAGGCCCGGTTCAATTACGTTCAGGGCGCCCCAAAGCCTGTGCGGACTAAGGACCACCGGACCACCCTTATGGCCTCCCGGACCTCGACGAGAAGGGCACGAAGGAAGCGAGGCTAGGAACGGTGCTCCTGGCCCGGGCCGTTGAGATGGCGGGGGCGATTCTCTATACAGAGAATGACTCGGGCATATCGCCGCCGGTCACCTTGGAGAACCCCCCGCCTTCAGAAGTGAAGCGCCACTTGTCGGCGTGGGAGCTGCCAGAGCTGGCCAAGTTCGCGGAGTACTCCCTCGGCCAGGGCAAAGTCAAGTGGGCGGCCTTCCCCACCTGCCTCTACCAGCAGGACGTGGAGAAAGGGAACCGGATGTACAAGCCGCAGCGGGTCTTGGGATCTGTGGAGGGCTTAGAGAAGCTCTCGGGACAGTGCTGCTGCGGAGGGGCCGGTCACATCGCTGTGGGGTTGAACAACTCCGCGGCCTCCGCAGAGTACCCGGACCAGCTCGTTGACTCCTTGGCCGAGAAGATCGTGGCCCACCTGTACGAGATGGGACACCTGGAGTGGCTCAAGGAAAGAAGGGACCAGCTGCGGGCAGAGATCACCGATTTGTCCGGGCGGAGAAGCCAAAGGGGAGGAGCACGGCATCGTCCCCAGCCTCGAAGAAGAAAAAGCAGGCAAGGGAGACAAGGACCGGGCCCGAGCTGACGAAGGACAAGAAGGAGAAGGGAAAGAGGAGAAGAAGCCGGCAAAGCTGATCAGGTACCCGATCCTCACAAAGTCCAAGGCTGCAGGGCCGCCCCGTCGCAAGTACCCACTGGCGTCGCAGAGAAGGGGAAAGCCAAGAAGGCGAGGAGCAGATCGCCAAGAAGGGGGGCAGCCACAGCAGCAGAGGAAACGACGAGCAGATCACCGAGAAGGGGGGCCGCAGCACAGGAAACGACAAGCAGATCACCGAGAAGGGGGCCACAGCACAGAACGTTTCGCAGCCGAGCCAGGGGTCCGAAGGATCGGAGACGAAGGTCGCCGAGGAGGTGCAGACCAAGAAGGAAACGAGGAGCAGATCACCGAGAAGGGGGGCAGCTCCAACAGACACTCCGCCAGCAACCGGGGGGGGATGCCACGACAAACGACCCTGTGCTGGCAGGCTGGAAGGGAGGCCAGGGCTCCTTTGAGAGGATAAAGCCGAAGCCGAAAGATCACCTGGGTGGGACGGTTAAGATCATGGCCCTTTGGGAGCGGTTCGTGGACAAGTGCCCGGATGCATTGGAGGTGGCAGAGACCTACGGCGCCAGCGTGTGCGAGGGCCCGACTAGGACAAGCCTGTGCAAGGCCGAGCTCAGAAGAGCTGTCGGGGCCCAAGCAAAGCCAACGGTCCAGTTGGCTCCTGCCACAACGCCATACAAGTCCCTGCTTGACCCGGAGCTCGAAGGTTGGGTGGAGAAGGCGGGGGATCCGGAGAAGCACGTACCAGATTGGGTGCGCAACGGGGCCCCATTGGGGATTGAGCGCCCCATTCCGACTTGTGGCGTTTACCCCGCTATCCCTCTGGAAGAGCAGAAGGACCAAGCAGCAGGAGGGGAAGAGGAAGCGTGGCACTCGGGGCCCCTCAGGAACTACGCCTCGGTCACAGACAACCCGGACGCGAGGCCTTCATTGAACTCGACCGGTACGTGGACGAAGGCTTCGCCATCAAGCTGGCAATGGAGGAGGCCATCAGGAGATATGGGCTCGGCACGGTCTCCAAGTTGGGCCTCATCCTTAAGGTCAAAGATGATGGTACGACCAAGCGGAGGATCATCATCGACCTCCGGCGCTCGGGAGGCAACAACAAGTCGGCCCTACCCGAGAGACTCACGCTCCCCAGGCCCGTGGACGCAGTGCGCATGGCCACCTTTCAGTGCGAGATGGAAGGTGAACTGCGAGCCAAGTATTCCAGGTTTGGCTGGGAGGAGGGAAGACTGGGCCAGAGAATGGGCGGTGATAGATAGACGTGAGCGACGCCTTCATGCATCTCGCGGTTGCCGAGCCGGAGCTTTCCCACTGCATGGCACCGGGAAGCATGCATGACAACAGCGCCCAGGAGGAGACAGAAGGCCAGGGGCACAACCCAGGCGAGGAAGTGTTTATCTTCGTGGCGCTCCTGTTTGGCTTCCGGACAGCCCCCCTCCTATGGAGCAGAGTTGCGTCGCTGCTCGCACGCCTCCATCAATCGTGCATCCAAGCGGCGGAGGGCAGCCACCAGGTCTACCTTGATGACAGCCTGTGGGCCTTATTGGGGGCACGACGCCGGCGCAACCTCCTGGCCGCCCTAGGGTTCAAGGTCTCCTACAAGAAGGGCTCGAGGGGAAAAGAGGTTACCTGGTGCGGAGTCACCTTCTGTTCCGACTCCGTGGACAGCCTGGTCTTGGGTGTCAATGGGAAATTCTTAAACGAGTTCAAGGACATCCTCAAGGGCTGGGACCACGACGGCATGGCCTCGCTAAAGGACCTGAGGAAAGCTGCGGGCAAAGCCTCGTGGATGGCTGGAATACTCCCTCGCCTTCGATGGGCCGTGCAAGTTCTGTACGGAGTCCTGCACGCCCGCCTCAAGGAGATCGAGGAAGGGGTGGAGAACACCAGAAGGAAGGGGCGCAAGGACCAAAGGAACAAGGCGGGGCTCTTCTACGTCAAGCGCCTTAATAAGGTCCACCTCTGGTTGCTCGACGTCATTGACGCCGTCGCCGGGCAGGTCTACGGGTACATACGCCTCAAGGTGGACGAGGAGACGAAGGTTACGATAACCACGGACGCCTCCCCCCTCAGCATCGGCGGCGTCCTCTCCTACAACGGGGTCGCGGTTAAGTACTACGAGGCCCCCGTGACCCTGACGGGCAAGAGCAAGCCACTCAACCGTTTGGAGGCCGAGATGGCCTACCTCCTGAGGTCATGGGCGTGCAGTCCCTCAGGGCGGTCCACATCCCGGGCGCCGCGAACAAAATCGCAGAACGTGAAGGTGACCTCCCGAAGAACTTCGCCACGCCAAAGGAGCCAAGCTGAGCATCCCGGACCTCTGCCACAAGGGCCTCACCAAGTTTTCTCTCGCCCAAATGGGCGACTTTGAATTGTGGCCACATCTCCTTAACGAGATGTAACACTCGTCGCCGGCCGCAGTGCAAAATGTGTGCCCAGCACTGCTCGCGCACGCTTCTCTCTCCCTCTCAGGTCCCTCTCTCTCTTGTTGCACCGTGCCCTTCGTGAGGTTCCCGGCTGCACTCGGTTGCGACTTTGTTGCTGCCCACCCGCCGTCCCCGCAGCCGTTTCTCACAATGGACGAGGTAGCTTCCTGGCTATGGTGGCCCCTTTTAAATGGTGGTCTCAGGTTACCTGGACTGGCTGGTCTTCTGCCTGTTCGGCCTGTACTTTTGCGCCCTCCGGGCCCAGCTCCTGTGGCACCGACTGCTCGCCTTCTTGCGGCCTTCGCCAAGGAGCAACAGTACGGCAAGAAGGCACAACTACAACGACTTCCTCCCGAAGGGCTCAACGGCACCGACGGACGACTTGAGCAGGGAAAGGACGATCGGGACAACCCCTCGGCCCCAGCGAAGGAGGAACCACTACGAGGAAGCTCCCGAGCTCACAGAGAACCAAGGGAGGGCCGTGGAAAGAGCTCTGGAGCAGAGGACCTGGACGAGGAGGACAGGAACACCTCCCCTGCCAAAGGCACCTCCAGGGACACCCTGCGAGTACGCATCGGAGCCTTACTTCCTTTCGTCGCAAGCGGGCAGGGAAGCAACAAGCGGAGAGCCAGGACCTCGGGGTCCCCTTCTTTGCAGGAGATCCCGCCGATGAAGACACAGAGATCGGGGACCCCCCTGCAGCAGCCCACCTTCTCGACTTTGTCAGCGGCACGAAGGGCCTTGACCAGGTGCAGGGCGAAAGCAAAGGACGCGGGAGACATAGTACTGCGGGGCCCAGGTCGTGGCTGAAGGGTAAAAGGCCTTCACTTCTTCATCCACGACCTCGAGGCAAGGCCTAGCCAAGTTCTTGGGGCGGGGGCCGTTGCGACTTCGAGGTCCAGCCAACGCCGGCCACCCTTCGCGAGATACGCCCCTACTGGATCTGCAGAGCTGGAAGGAGAAAAGGCGGGAGGGCGACCGCGCGCAACCAGTGAAGGAAGGTAAGCTGCGGGCCCACCTCGCCGCGGTGGCCGCCAAGCCTAAGGAAGCGCTGGCGAGACTTCGGAGGGACTTCTTCGCGAGCACCTCTCTGAAGCCCAAGGCCTCCAGGAAAAGGTTGGTTCTCAAGGTGGCGTCAGAGGTCGCAACTTCTCTAAGGGGCGGCGGTGACCCGATGCCACTTTGCACTAAAGTCCTGGAAGCCACCGCGGCGGTCTTCAAGGAAGCAGGCTACAAGTCAGCTGAAGCCTACCTAGTGGAGCTTAAGCTGATTCATGTGGAGGCCGGCCACCCGTGGACCCACGCACTTCAGCGGTGCCTGGACCTTTGCAAGAAGTCGGTCCGGAGGAACAGGGGGCCGAGAAAGAAAGCTCTGGCCTTAAACCTCGACAAGGCGGCGGCAACGAAGGTTTCGAAGAACTGGGTGCGGAGGAAAGGGAGGCTGGCACACCCAAAGGAGAGCTTTCTGTTCGCCGGGGTCTGGATGCTCAGGGAAGATGAGCTGGAAAGGGTGGAGACCTCAGACGTGAGGATAGAGGACAAGCTGGTCTACATCTACCTGGCGCACTCCCAGACCGACATAGAAGCTCAAGGCACGGTGAGGGCCTTGCAATGCCGGTGCCCGGGAACCACGCGCAGGAGGTTATGTCCTAAGAGAGTGACAACGGACCTCCTCAACAAGGCGGAAGTGCTCCACGTGGCCAAGAAGACGAGGGGTCGCAGGTGGGTGTCTCCGCTCCACTGCGGAACAAAAGCTACGAAGGCCCAGACGGTTAAGTCGTGGCGAGAGTGCTTTCACGCGAAGCTCACGGGCCACTCGGCCAGGAGATCCGGAGCCCTCTTTTACATCAGGTCCGGCTTCGCCTTGGAACAGGCCGTTGGAAGTCGGATGTTGTGTTGGAGTACGCCGCGGAAGCCCTCGAAGAACGTCCAGCCTTGGAGGGGGAAAAGAAGGGAGGAAAGAAGAGGAAAGCGTGTGGCGTCGACGCGGACTTCTCGTCGGTCCTCATGGACCACACCAGTTTGTTCAAGGAGATGAAGGAGGCCAACGAGGAGTTTAAGAGCAAACTCCAGGACAACCTGGCCAACTACCTCGACATCGTGGAAAAGTCGAAGGCCAACAGCACAGGATCTTCCACGGCCCAGGCCCCCGCCAGCAAGAAGATTTGCAGTGCTTACAGCGGCCTGGTGCACGACATCGACACGTCGATGGTGCAGGAAACCCCGCACCTGTGGAAAACAGTTTGCGGATGGCCCTACGGGTTTTCGAACTTCACGTACGTTACCAGCCCCTGGGAAGCTACTACGTGCAAGAAGTGCCGCGCGCGCTGCAAGGAGACTGAGAAAGGCGCGGAGAAGCCTTTACATATGACCGAAGGTCTAAGGACGCTGCACGATATGCTTCACCATCCAGCATGAAAAGAAGCTGTCTTCGGCGGGAGGGTGGGATCGATGCGCTGCAGTTTGTCTAGGATGTCTCCAAGATCGTTGTTAGTGTTGCTGCTTCTTGTCTGCTTCGGTTTGTTCTGGCCGCTATGGTTTCACTTCCTACTATCACTGTGGCGAACGTCCGCTGCGAGTATACGTGCAAGTTAACATTTTGGTGCAGCGCTTCCTTGTCAGGCCCTCTCGTATTATGGTTGTCCTGCACTTCATAGGTTGATGCTTGACGTTGCTTTCTCATCAAACTACATTCGCATTGCCTGCGCTCGCGATTGTGGTTGTATCTGTTCAGGTCTGTTATTGCCGGGGTGGTCATCCATTGCTTGCCATGGCCCGCTCTGTTTGTTTTGGGATGGCGCCACAAGCACCTTCCTGTCACGCAGGTTGTGAATTTGACAGCGCACGTTTCGAAACACACATTGCCACAGCGAATCTCACAGTCTTATGAACTGTCTTGCGGCAAAGGCGATAAAGCATTCAGGCATCAGTGCCGAGACAAGGCATGCAGGGTGTCGAACCAATGTGTCTAGAAACAATATGTTGTTGGAAATTTGTGGAGGTTTTATTTAGGGTTGCCTCGTCTCGATCATCGTAGCAGATTTAGGCATTCTTCTGTTAGGTCGAGGTTGTACATGTTTGAGAGTACTGGCCACAAATCGTTGCCAAGCCAAAGAAGTGTCGGATTGAACACGCACATTGCGATGTCAAGCAGCACGGCAGCAGCCCCAGTAAGCTTTAACAATGAAGCGCTGCAGGCCACACGGGGTGTTCGTTATCCAAACCGTGTTTGCATTCATCGTTGTGCGTTGCGCATTTGGGGCATGCTGAGCACGTACATTCTGATGGGGAAATTCTAGTGGGATGGCTTATGCAGGCATTGATTTGTCTGCAGTGCAGGGGAGGCCGAATCTGGAGTTTGTTTCAGGCTTTCGCTGTCGGTGGTCAAAGCGAGCGGGGTGACACGAAGCGGGAGCAGATGAAGCGCGAGTATGCGGCCCTGGCCCTGGCCTTGGGAGAGACCAAGGGAAGTCAGAGCTTGATCTAGTTCTGTGAGGAGCGCCAGGCGCGGGAGCAAGCCAACAAGTGAGGGAAGGGCCTGCAGGCATTGCATGTCGTGCACAGGATGTCTCACCGCGTTCGTAGCCGTCCCGCCGACTGCACCACATCGACCTACATCGACTTTGCCGGAAGCTGCTTGCTTTTCTGATTTAGGCTGTGGCAGTTCCTGGACTGCCCACGTTTCAGATTTCTGTCCTGCGTCCGTCTCCTTCTAGTCCTACAGGGATATGGTCATGGAAAAGCAGAGGAAAGCAAGTGGCCGCCACACACGGCTACCGTCAGATGTGTCAAAGCAATTACAGACGATGTTACTGTGCACACCCGTTTAAGCACCTTGAACTTGTGAAACCCACCTAGAACTGCATAGAACCTTGTTGATTGGTTGCTACTGGGGCAGCCGAGCCTTGCGCCTTGCTGCCTCACCGTCGGCGGAGTGTATGGCGGGATCTCATGCCCGGCCATGGCTGTGACCCAAGAGAAGAGAATTGTTGCTTTGAATGTTGGGCCGGCGAAGAGATGCGTGATGGTTCTTGTATCTAAGACATCTAAGACCGCCAGAGCCGTAGCCGCTCGGCCTCCGGCCGTGCCGTCATGTCTTGGGCATGGGGTCCAGAAGGTTGTGCCAGTTTGGTATAGGCGGTATAGGTGCATGCGCTTTGCGAACTTTGCCGGGAGGTGTCCCTTTAGTGTCTGCAGCTTGGCAGGCCGTCGCCGAAGAAGACGAAGAGGAAGGAATCCCAGGCAACATGTATTTGCAGCCTTAGCCACACCTGTCGCGAGGAGCTTCGGGGCCACGTTGTTATATGCTTGCTCGGACGAGTTTCTTTCGCATGCCTGCAAGAGGCTAAACTTCGGACGCTACAGCGGGTTGAGCTACAGGGAGGTCGGTCGATGATGCAGACAGTGCTTGTTTGTAGTCGGTGCATGCCTTTTTTACTTCTAAGAATTTCTCAGAAGCATATCCTCACTTGTCGTCGGCAGGTGGCTCTCAATCATCCAAGCTATGTCCGCTGGGCAGAGCCGGCAATGGTTCTGTTGTCTGCTGATCTCTGCCCGTCAACGAATGGCAACGTGTTGCCAGGCCCTAAGCCAGCCAAGTCCGACAGTATGCGGCTGAGACTGTTGGTCTGACGGACAGCATGTGAATGGAGCTGCCAGCATCTTTGGATCAGCTGTGTCATGAAACATCTGTTGCCGTCAGACCACGAAGAGCTTTCGATTGATGACATCTCTGCATTGAATGAGACACCCTGAGCATCTGTGCACTGTTCGGCGCACATGCATGTGAGTTCTTTTCCTGCCGACAAGGGTGGTCTGACAGTAAAGGTGGTGCTCCAGCTGCGATCAGTGATCGTGTGTAAGGTGTTTTAAGCTATGTCACGCTATTTCACATGTCGACATGAGCTCCCACGCTAGCAAACTGGTAATGCTGTGGTGCGAGGGTGGACTTCGATCGTTTGTGGCCTGGCTGCGGGCTCATCCTCCTGATGCAAGGCGAGGCAGTTGGATCGCAGTGCATCGATGGATATATGTTATAGTGTACGTCTGGTTCAAATGTAAATTATGTGTATGCGCATCCGTGCCCGCACCCACGCACGCGCGGGGACGTGCACGCAAGCACATACAGACATCTTCCCATCCCCATACCTAGTAAGATGGCTGATGTGAGAGTTGGCTCCCACCTTGAAGGAGTCCATTCCTGCATTCAACATGACATTACTAAACTGGCTAAAGATCCCTCCTCTTAAACTGCAACTATTGCGCTCAACACCGAGCTGAACACGGCTGTTTCGAGATGACGGAGCTGATGTGAATGTGACGTGTCCAAGCTATGCAGCCTTCATGCATGGTCTTCCACTTCATTCTTCCTTTGACGAGCACGCGATATCCTGGACGTATATGCGCTCTTCATCGGATGTGGTACTGCTTTCCATGTTCAGCCTTGTGACGGTTTGTTGGAAGTGACCACCCACATGGCATCGTGTGCCTTGGACCTCTTTGGCTTTGGCTTGGAAATGGAGACAGTCAGTCGTCAGTTTCTCCCTTTTGGGAAGCCACGGACGGCTGAAGCTTTTCCGGCGGCCTTAGGAAGTTGGGTTATACAGGAAATTTGGAGTTAGGTTTTGTAGGCTTTGGGCATGCCGGGTGTATAGACTATAGAGGGTCAATCTGACAGGCCTGATTGTAACCGCTGCATGTCGCTGGCAGGCGTCAAGCATTCGGGCATCCCGCTTGTATCTCTGCAACATAAAGTCTGAAGCACATTTGTGAATTCAACATGCCAGAACTCACTACCGCAAGCAGGCTAGATCGACGGTGACAACAGCTTCCAATGTCTTTCCATGCCTTGTCGCCTTTCTGCCAATCTTCGTGATGAGTGCATGTCCTTGGTAGACTTGAGGCAAAGTCCACATGTACCTGCCATCGCTACAAGTAAGATCCAACTGCTCAGTTCTACACGATGCTGACACATTTCGGTGTGGAAGGCCGACACAAAGAACCCGCAACAACAGTCACTGCAAGAGCATCAGAGCATCTGCTTGTTCCAGTGTTCGGCATGAAGTGTGTTTCTGGATGCTACTTTGCTTTGTCTCGGAGCAGGGATGACGTTTCCTCTGTCAACTATGCGAGCTCCGCTTCAGACGACAGCCCCATCCCCAGGATTGCTTCGTGGTGCTTTTTCCATGCAATCGTGCAGCTGCAAGCCCGTCCTTACGTAAATCGGCCGGCGGTAGCAGGCAAAGCGTCTGCGCTTGCAGTATCTTGCGGTATCTTGCAGCTCAGCAAGTGAAGGTGAGATGCAACGTTTTTCCTAAGGTGAACTTGGGTCAGAACGTGACATCGATAGCGAAGCAGCCAGCGAAGAGCCATCGATGCATGCCCAGGTGCTTCCTTCTCTGGAATCATAGCACTTCCACCAGAGCTTGGCTGGATGCCAGTTTACATCAGGCGTTGCCTCGCCATCTGCCTATGGTCGAGCTCATGGAGCAGATGGTGCAGTATTCCGGAAGTTTGAGGCTCTGTCGTGCAAGCGAAAGCATGCTCCCAAAACACCGCTGCGCGTGAGCTTCCTTGGATTGTGAATGCAGGGATCTGTCAAGACTGTGCGAGGCTAAGCAGCAGCCACCCCCCCTAGTCAGTTGTCGCACGACGAAGGGACATGTTGGCACAGCATCTGCTCAGGATGCGTCAGAGTGTGGAGCGAAGGGGCGATGTGGCATCCTTGCACGGTCTTTCAGCCCTCCTGGTCAAGACCCCGGACATGTGTCTTGTCGTACAGTGCTCGCTGTCGTGTCAATCTCTAATCACTTCGGACTAAATCAGTCGGTTGGGTGTGGCCAAGGGGGAACTACCACGTGTGACCTACTCCGCGAGTGCGCACCACGATTCATATTCATGTTGCTCGGATATGTTTTGCAGTGCGCAGTTGTGCAGGCTTGTTCAGTGGAGCGCCCCATCCCCAAAGCTGTCAATGTCTTAGACTGTGGCTGCAAAATGATGCATATCCATCTGGCGATGTCTGGTCGCACTTTTCACAGGTCCAATTTGCATGGAGGACTTCGATGCGTGGGAAGCCGGAAATGATTCCGAAATTGCGCTGGGCCCAGTAGCTTCTGTTTCGAATGCATAGCACTTGTGGCAATGTGTGGCAATCTCTCTGATGAGCTGATATGCCGATGATGTTTCCAGGTCATGACTCCTTGCCTTCACACTTTCCACCTTGGCTGCCTCCGAGGTGCGTGCAAGAGCTTGTGTCGCATCATGCGCGTGCCATGATGTGCTGCCTGACTTGTCGTGGTGTCCATGATGGCCCTTCAGCGAGGTTGGCTGAAGAGAAGCCGGTAACCAAGCAATGCATGTCGAGTAGGACCTTAGCATCACTTGATAGCATCAGTGTTGGGCTTCATCTTCATGCACTTCTTTCCCGTTCGGAGTTGGCAGATCTCGGATGCATCAAGGTCCAGAGTGCCCGACGTGTAGATGGGACATTACAGATTTGGGTGCTGACAAGGCAGCGCATGATTTCAAAAGTTGCTTGCAACAGACTTGTGCTGTTGTGTGCAGTCCGCTGGAAGCTGCTCGCAAAGTGTGCTAATCAACTTCCCAAGTCATTTGAACAAGTGCAGCATATGTACTCTTCCGCTGACTGCCAGGCCTTCGATTCCAGCTGTGCTTCTGGCAATGTTGTCAACAGAATGCTTTCTGGCAACTGTAGCTTCTGAGTTCGGCAAGCGCGGCTGAGACGCAAAAGCTGCTCAGACAACTTCAACCGCACAAGCGCATCCTCAAATGACAGGTGTTGATCTTCCACAGACTCGTCCTGATGTGTCGTTTGCCCGGCATAGTGCTACAGAGCTCCCAGCATTCCATGATTCCAGAAGAGCGGTCCGCAGGCCCCAGGATTTGGAGATCGTGGTGCCAGGGTCTTTACAAACGTCTGCTGGAGCACAAGAGATCTGTAACCTGTGCCCAAGAGACCAAGACTGAGGTCTGACGATGAGTAAGTCTGAGGTGCAAGAGTCTTGAGCACAGGCGGTGTCAGCGCGAAGCCGTTTCGTGGATGACGATACCCTTTCCCACACAAAGAGGTGTGCCACACTTCAAAGCGGAAGTGCGAGTCGGGTTTAGACCTTCTCTGGTCCCTGTGTGGGACAACTCCACAGTGCCTAGCCTTCCAAACAGTGTTGCCAGAGGTATTCAGCGGGACAGGAATGCGGTGCTTCAGGGAGTTTCAAGTTTGCGGGTCATAGCGTTTGTTCCGCTGTGGTTGCGAAGCCTGTGAAGACGGGTGGTAGCTTCTGCGTAGCGGCTGAACTTGTTATCCGGAATCCGGGCCGGGGGAAGGGCAAAAAGCACCATGACATGATGCTGGAAGTGATTTGCTTTCTTGGCTGACGGTCAATGTTGCTCATGCAGTGAGGAGTCTACGCCGAGAGTTTTGCATCCGCCCAAGCAGAGCCATAGCTCCCACAGCTGATGCGATAATATGAGAATCCTAACGCTGCGGCCGCAGCATAGCTCCTGAACTCAGAGGCTGCTTAGGGCCGATGAAGGCCTGTGACCCAGCATACCTTGTCCAAGATCCGCGATTTAAGTTTACGAAGAACCTGCGTAGCCATCCGTCCTTGCAGCACAGCTTCCTACGTCCTGCTCCGATCTCAGCTGCTGCTCAGAGATCTCTGTCGTCCGTGGAGCCGTCAGCGCAAAGGCAGGTACAAGAAAACGCTTCATTGCTGGGCTGTGGAGAGCGTTTGAGCTTCGGGCCTTGTCATGTTGCATGGCCGAGGCCTGTCTGGCATCGCGGGACTTCTTGCGCTGGGCCATGGTACCCCCTGTGCATTACATTTTGAGAGGATTCGTTTCTGACACGCCTGGTGATCTGGTGGTCATCGCAAGCCGCAAGCACGTCGGTGAAAGGCTGCAGCCCCTCGTCGGAGACACCGTCAGGCCTGTAGCCAAGTTTACCATCTTGTCAGTTGCAGAGTTGCAGAGAGTTGCACAGAGTTGCAGGTGTCATGCTGAAAAGCATCAACGCGGCCAGTGCGGGCTCGGTGCTTCAGGGTATCAGGCGCAGTCTGGTTAGGGACGAAGTGGGCTGAGCATGGGTGACCGACCCGAGACAGCGGGTGCGCGCATGAGGGCACGAGCAATGACACCGGCCTGGATGGAAGCGCACGGAGGAGACAGCATTTGTATGTATTGAAACAAAGCCGTGGGTGGCTGGGTGAGTGCGTGGGTGCAAATGAACTTTCAAGGTCTATGTTTAACGGCCCACCAGCAACAGCCACCTCCAGAGACGGCAGAAGCCGCAGCACAGGTCCGGTTGCACGAGGTGACCGTGCCCCTGTGCGGGCTGTGGGTGCAAAATGAAAACGTGTCGCCAAGGCGAGGTGGTGGAAAGGTTCAAAACTTGGAAAATGTGTCTGAGGACGAGAGGCTATCCAATCTCCAGATCTCCAGTTTGTGCTTCCGAATGGACCTGGCTTCTGCGTCCGTCTCCAGCACTGTCACTCTAGATTTTCAATGCTCATGCCAGAATGGGCTTCACCCTCTCCCAGAAGGAGACTCAGGCCAGCAAGCAGGCGCCACAATAATTTCAACGTTGAAGGTCTTCCTGCTGCAGTAGGGTTGCCTGAAGCAAGATCGTCGCAGGGATATCTACCCGGCCAATGTGTACATGGCGCGAGCGTTGAGGAGGAACTGCCGCTGACTTAGAATTGAGTAACCTTGTAACTTTCCGTTTGTCGGCGCGTGCCATAGGCAAAGCAGAGGGTGAGAAACCAGGCTTTTCCAGCTTGGCTGCCGTGAATTCCTCTTGCTAAAATTGAGGGCGAGCGGGAAGCGCCTTCTGGAGGTGGGGACTTTCGAGTTTACCTCTTTGTCCTCTTTGGATGATTAGGAATACTCCGTTGGCGAAGCCATTGGCGAAGGAGCCTTCGGTGTAGTTTATGCCATGATCTGAGAGCTTGTCGGCCAGTCCTGATTTCTGACGAAACGAACAGAAGCGGTTGCATAACGTGGCACATTCAATTGAGGCGTGCGCACATCGGAAGACGAGCATGCAGGCACGGACCTGGTGCCGAAGTTCCTGGTTGCCACGATACTGGTACGACAGAATAGTAATAGACCGATGATGACTGATGGCAGGCCGCAGTAAAGATGGTGGACAAGGCTCGCTCTTCTGGAATGTTCCTGCTGCTACACGACTGTAGTGCCCAGTCATTTCAGTTTGACAGGTTGAGACACCGACAGCCGTGATACGCAGAGAAGCAGAATTGATGAAGGCAGAACGTGGTCTGACAGATTGATGATCGCACTACAAACCGCTTTGAGCATGGGGCACCTGCCCAGCCTGCGCCAGTCCCTCTCACACGACAACATCGTTCGCTTCCACGCCGTGTACTTCGAGAGGCCTTTCAGTCCTGCCTGGCTGCATGAACATATGTGTATGAGTGTGTGTGAGCGCGCGTGCACCACGCCTGTGCGTCTCTGCTCGTGTCTGTGTGATGTCCTCGCATGGGCACAGGGAGTCACTTCTTTCTTGCAGTTTGTCACAACAACTAGCATAGGTGGCACTTTCATGACGTGTTGTCGGTTGCCGGGGCTGGCAGCGTGTTCGGTGATGCCAGCCACCGAAGCTAGCGGAACCGGTTGATGGGTTCATGGAACCATGGATTTGTACCTGCAGCACAAACGTGGAAAGGACCCAGTTTAGCGAGAAAGTCGGAGCTCTTTTCCGTGTGCATCCAAAGCAGTTTTCCGTTTTCCGCAGCATAACAAGCACGCTGAAGCACTCTGTCTATGCATACAGAGAACCTTTCAAGCAGCAGGCAGGAACACGACAGTTGACAGCAGCATTGCATGAGGCCGATGTTGCATGAGGCCTATGAACTAGCAAGTGTGCGCGGCCTTGTGGTGTGTGTTTGCGAAGTGGTGATGCCTTGCACGCCAACTTCATGCTGGCATCATTTTTAAAGTTGTGTGTAGGGCCTGCTGCTGTTGTCTGGGAATGGAAGCTGTTTGGGGAATGCTGACCTGCAAGGTGCTTTGTGTGCATAGTTATGGACAAGTACAGCGGAGGACCTTCCTCTTCATGCATGTCTTCATGCATGGACGGACGGAAGTCTATAAGTCCAAGACAGTGACCTAAAAAAGATTGTCCCGCCAAGCACCTTGGCAATCACTTCAGCATCAGGCTACCATGTAACGTGACGCAATGCAGGGCATGCTAGCGACCGTTCGACTCGACACGCGTGCCAAAGTGGCAAGCACGTCCCTGACCAGCTCGCTTCAAGTGCTTTCGAGGAGATCTTGTCGATGGTATGCAGGCGCATATGAAGGAGACTTGCAAGGCATGTTATCAACTCACATTGTGAATTCTGATTCCTGTGGCCACGAAGCCAGTTCGCATCCTCTGCCACAGACTTGCACCATGCGTGGAAGGAGCATGGGAAGATAAATCCAAGAGACATCATCCACGTCAGTTATCAGGCGATGCCATTCTGCCCTGCACTCTGCACGGACGGGCGAGAGCGCAAAAACTCAATGATGCCAGATGGCAGCCTCCATCAAGTACCTCCATGGACGACACATTGCACACCGTGACATCAAGGCAAGAAGTGGAGTTGGATGTAAGATGGTTGGAAGTTTCTACTTCCAGGATTTCACACATGGAACTGAACATTTTGGAGCACGTCTGCACTTTTTGGAACAAGCAGAACCCCCGTCGTTCTTGTTGTGTGCCTCGTTACTGGGCTTGTACAGGGCTGTGCTGCAGCTGTTGTCACTCCCTGCATCGGCTGCAGACTTTCTTCATGTCGCGTACGCTCAGCGATCTTCAATCTAACTAAGGGAGACAACTTCCTGATCACGACCCGGGACCTCCGAGACCAAGATTGCAAAGTTGCTCTCAGCGACTTCGGTGCTCCTACTTGCGGCAGTAGCCGAGTGCTCGCAAAGCATCTCCGAGTCCTACAATGTCCCGCAACCATCCGCAAGCCTCGGCTCCGGTCATTCACGTCGTAGAGGGTAGCTTCATTAGCCGAGTCCACAGGTCTTTCCTAACGCATGTACGCGTAATGACAGCACCCCTGGCTCGGAGGAAGACCGTTTGTTAAGAGAAACACCCATACAAAACAACATGCGAGAAACCAAGAGCCAGATATAGGCAGACTCATAGAGACTCGTACATGATGTTACATGTGTGTATATATATATATATATCTTTATAGATGTACAAATCAATGTAAAACACATACATGTACATACACGCATACATATACATATAATTACATATACATATACACATACACATATACACATACACATACACATACACACATTCATACATGCATACATACATACATACATGCGTACATACATACATATATACTTGCATATATGTGAAAATATATGTTTATACGCACGCACCATTGCAGTGGCCGCAGCCATGAATGGCTGGGAGCTTGGCTTTAGTCTCTTTCTCTCTCTCTCTGTGTTTGCGTGCTTAGATTCCCTCTAAAGAAGGCACATGGGCAGCCACCCGTGGACTTGAAGACTTCCAGCGAAATGCGGCCTTCGTCTCGACCCAAGACTTTCATTCTCAACCCTATAGAAGCTTTGGAGGTGACGCCAGCTGAAGCAAAGGTGGCCTTCATGATCATCGTTTGCTTCGGGGTTTTCGTCTTCATAACGAGGAGGGACGTATGAAGTCGAGATGCTGATCATGCGCATGTTCGTGCATGAGCAGCAGTCTTTGGCAGACCTTTATGGAGGAACCTTCGAGACACCATCACACCTCTTTGCTGGGCTGCATTTTTCGCAGATCTTCGGCAGCAGGGAGCATTAGCGTTCACCGAGCAGAGCCTGCATTCTGCAGGTTCCGAGCACGCTGCTGATCTCGTACTTGGATCGCCTGATCAATGCGGTCGCCAGCTTGGAATGAGATATACTGAGATTGTGTGAATCATCGACATGTTTCATCGCTGTGACACAGGTCATGAGCAGGCTGGTGCAGCTCTGGCATCGTATGTGGGGCTCGCGACGAGTCGAATGTCCAGCGACTCGGAGTATGTAGTGCGCTAATGTAGCAGCAGGAGCGGTACATGGGATTGATAGCATTACTCTTCCACCTTTGAAGGCCGCTGCCCCCGTTCACAGAATGACATCATTCTAGCCGCTCTTTGCATGTGGACATGTGGATATGATACCATTGGGTCTGTCCAGGTGAAGCAGAAATTCAAAGTCGCAAGGATCCATACAAACATGTTCTGGTAGCTAATGGCGTCAAAACAGTCATCGACGGGCCGAAAGTAGAACAGCTGGCTGACGGAACAACCATGACGTAAATACCATTACCGGTTACCATGTATGGTTATCATTGTATCATGAATCCTCATAAGGCCTGCGGTAAGACATGCCCACAGATCTGTGCAGTCCTTCGGCATTGTTAGCTGAGGAGTTTGTCCACTTCGTGGCCGCCCATGGCGACAGCCACATTTGCCTAGACAATGCACCTGGCACAGCTGCATTCCTTCGCAAGGCGTGGTCAGCATGGGCAACACGTGTGTCATTTTGCACGCTTCAGCTTCAGAGTGTTTTTGAAATGTTTGCACGCCGCAAGGGACTGAGAGTGGCATCGTAAAGTATCTGATCACAGTTGGCATGTGGAAAGGTTGAAGCCTTGATGTTGCAGGCCGAGCATGCTTTTTTGTGCTGCTCCCGAGGTGAACACGCCATGCATTGGCTGTGGCGCCGGGCTTCCCTGCCGGCAGAGAAGCATTGGGCTGCGGTGGTAGATCCTAGCCGTTTTGCGCGTGTTTACTTCATGTTCAACACATTTTCGTTCTTTACTGTTGTTTCTGTCAGACACTTTGCGAGAAGACAGCGTAGTCATCGACGCCCTGGAGTAGCACATTACAGCAGGATAAATAAATCTCGAGATTTTTGCTGTCAAGGCTCCTCAAGCTGCTGCAAGTGCTGCGCCTTGAGCGGCTTGGCACAGAAGAGCAGCAGATAAGCAGGACAGTCCTGACGACAACATCTATTTTTCCATGCCTCGTCTCCCACAGCTAGCCACAACTCCCTGATACCGCAGATGGAGGCAATCGGGTTGTCTTTGGTGTCCTTTATCAAGGTCCTGCTTCCGGCGGCGCGTCAAGATTGTCAGCCTCTCTTTGCAGGTGCCACACAGATTGCTGTAGATGATACTGCAAGAGGGTTGGCATGCCAAAGCCGGATCTATTGCCTTGGTGCAGAACTTTCTTCACAACCCCTGACACATGAATGCTGTAATTCAATTGGTGTGTGCCAGCAGTCACGGTGTGTTGCTGTCTGGAGTCTAGCGTCTTCTATTTGTCTTTGTACGTAAGATGCGTGCAGATCGTTTCGCTTTCGGCAAAGGGCCTGTGGTGGCTTTAACTGGCAGTTGTGTGTGCCGAGGTCACGGTGTGTTGCTGTCTAGCGTCTGCTATTGCACTGTTTTTGTACGCCAGATGTGTGCAAATGTTGTCGGAGCAGGTTTCGTAAGGGCCTGTACTTTATATCTTGGGTATCCGAACGTAGTCTTTCACGCCAGTGGTCTTTTGGTAGACTTTACGAAGCGCTTCCCAAGACTTGCCAACCTATCTTTTCGAAGCTTTCCCGGGTGCCTGTTGAGCTATAGGGCCCGGACGAGCTCGCACGTAGATTTAGCAGCTATTGTTGCACCCCCAATCATTTTCTCAAGGCAACATTTTGTGACAAAAGGGTGAGTACCCTGGTAAACGGGTTCAGGTACGTAGCACTGCTTGCTGAACATTGAGGGGTGTGTGTGTGTGTGTGTGTGCGCCTTGATTAACAGCTAGAGGTTTGTGGAAGTCACCATTCCAATGAGGGGGACGTGGCATGAGATCAGGGACCACGTCCAACGAAGCTACCTGATCTCATGGGAAGCAGAGCTTGGCCAGTTTTGTGTACTTGCTTCGAGTTGAACGGCCGCCTGAAACGCACCCCTAGTTCTGCTGCTGTTTCGTATTGGCCTGTGAATGACGGGTTTTCTGCATTTCCGGAAGGTTTGCGGCCGAGAGCCTCCTGTCCTGGAAGCTATAAGTTCTGAAGTGCCGCAGGGTACCAACACAGGATGCGGATGTAATGGCATTATCGATGGACTAGCAGGCTTCTAGCCGACCATGGCATTTGGTTGATCCCGTTTTTCCGTGTGCGTGACTCCTGTTCCGAAGACTGTAGGATGTACAAGTTTTTATCAAGCAGGGGGCCGGAGTATGCATTGAGAGTCTCCTGCCAACGCAGGCACCTTCATTGCATAGTGATATAGAGAAGGGACGCCTTCTTTACGTACTTGCACAACGAATGGCAGCCAGGCTAACACACAAACCTGGCAAGTCGACAATGTAGCAGAGCGTACAAATGCAACGAGCTATCACAAACAGCATCCATTTAGGTAAGGATGATTGGTCTGCAAGTGTGTGTGTGTGTGTGATGTTGGCCAGTGCTCGACACTGTTTGCTTTGCCGGAACTATTGACAGTGATTGGTTGATTCTGTATGTCGCACTATGGAATTGCGACAGGCAGGGAAAAGTCTGAATCATGGGTGAGTAGAAGCCTATAGAGGTACTTTGTAGTGTGGTTTCAGGATGGCACTGATGGCGAATCCCTGGGCCCTGAAGTCAATCGCAGCATGGCTTCAATAGCCAGGTCAGGTCATGTACCTTGAAACATCGCAGTTACTCCAGCAATTGCATGTGGACTTTGTTAGTCACGTTACTCATCCGGCGATGTCAGGTCCTGTGCTGTCATTGTTCAGTCTTGCGCTGCTTGTTTGCAAGGACTGGTACAAGGCTGGACTTACTACGCTTCCAGTGCAGGACACGCTGCACGCTGAGCCGGCGTCGATCAACCAGCATAAGCTTTCATGGTATTAGATGAGATTGCTCTTACGGAGTTGAGTTGAAACTCATTGACATCGTTGAAATCATGTTTGACCCGCATTCCGAACTATTGCCATGTGAGCGAACTCGCGGTCATTGCGTCACTGTCCGGACTGTTTATGCAGACCAAGCCTGATGCACGCACTCAAGTGTCTCGCGTTAACCCTGTATAGGGCAGAGGCATGCTGCTACTTCGGCTGGTGTTTGCATTCTGAGTCGGCTGCACTTGCAGGAACACGGGACTTCGCGTTTGATGGCGAGGAAGGCCAGGTCCGATCAGCGGTGCAGAGCGTTGGCGCCAGCTGTGGTAGCCGGGCAATGCCCGTAGTGGTAGTACTTGGGGTAGGAGTAGTCCGGTGGTGGTGCATGAAGGACTCACTACAATTCGGCTCGAGCTCTTCCTGGACGCATCAGAGCAGTATGCTGCGGTGATCCCGACAAGGCAGGCGATTTCAGAAAGGACAAGATTTGCGAATCTTAGTGGGGTGTCGGCTCGCCGTGGCAGCAGATGGGTCGGGCCCCTTTCGATTGTTCAGTCCGCCTACCACGCGATCAAACATCAATGGGACCTTGGAGATGGACAAGAGCTCTTCCCTGCCACTCCCACAGAAAGTCAGGAGGTACAGCGAGCCTTATTGAGCAGGTCCAGTGTTTTTTTTCACTGACTCAGGGACCTACTGTGAGGTGCTGTGTGCCACAGAGAAGTCTAAGTCTAAGGTCCTGGTTGGTGGCGCTGCTGTTAACATTGCTTCTGGTTTCTGCCGGCATGTGGTTTCTGAGACAGCATGCCTGGCATCCAGTATCGGAATCTGTCATCGGTCCAGACATGCCTTGACTATCAGTCTACGGCCTGCAGCTCAGGTTCTTTATTGAATGCATCACTCTGGGCGTGCAGAGCTTCACAGCTAACTTGGACGATTACAAGAAGGTAGTCAAGCTGCATGTGTTGAAGCTGATTCTCCTCACGTGGACTTGCAGTAAGAAGCGTCTCGCACGACAGTTGCTGTCTGCGATCTGCCACGGAGATGCCAGGGTGTTGAGGATTTTCTCAACCTTGTCAAGCCGATTCTGCCGGAGAGCACATGGAAGGAGCTCATTGTACCCCGCATGAACGGCTCTTCCGTCTTCCATTGCATCCAAAAGCAATGCGCAGACAGCGAATCCTTCGGCCGGAGCGTTTGCTTTCATGATTGGAAGATTGGAAGACCGTGAAAAGCAGGAGCTGCAGCAGAAGATTACGTCGTTCCTAACCAACGAGCTTGGGACGCTGGCCTCGCAGCTTGCGTCTTCACTCGAGTCACTGAGCTTCCAGGCGTGTAAAACTCTTCAGGCGCCACGGTGCTTCGCGTTGTTGAGCCTCATGTGCAGTTGCAGGCTCTCATGTTCTTTGTGTACCTTTTCTTTTGGATCTTTGAGCCTCTGCCAGTGAGCAGCCCTGTCGCAGAGGCTGGACGAAAGACGTCTTGTTGTGAAGGAGGGTTTCCAGTTAGTTACGCCGTTTTGTCAGTTGCTCCAGGTCTTCAAATCTTATCTTCTGATGAAAACGTTCATTTGCTTGCTTTTCTCTGCCTTGATGAGCGCGGCCTACCTGCATCTGAAAGACAAGCAATTTCCAAGAGCAAACTGCACACTTGGGTGCCCAGGTTTTTAGTAGTCATGACCATGAGAGCTATTGGCCGAGGTTTTGCTCATGTGCCTGCAGTGCAAGATCTGGAGCCTATTTTTTGCAGTGGTCTCAGCATCAAGCATCAGCTGCAGTAGAACGGATACACTGTGAGCCTTGCCGAGTACGTTTTGAGGTTTTGACCTTCCTTCTGAACTTTATTCCGGAGATTGGTGCCGCGGCTAAGCACAGAGGGCACGAAGCCAGACTTTGCATGTTGTGCAGAGGTGCCATCGCCTCTGCGATCCTTACAGTCCCGGCCATCTTGTTTGATGGGCATCTGCCTATGGAGCGGCGCCTGGAGAACTTGATTTGGCATCTTGGATAGCATGTCGTGGCGGCCTGATGAGTGAGTAAGCACCGCGAAAGTGGACAGGCTCGTGATCATGGGAACCGCGATCAAAGTCTTCACAGGCCGGGATGAACTTCGTGTCACTTGATGGCCACATGTTGGTAGACTCTGGCTGGAGGAATTTAGGTTCAATGCCGTCAGCCACAAGCCACCGCATACGGACAGGCAATGTAGTGGAGGTGCAGATGTATGCTACCATGGGTGGGCAGTTTATGCGCATGCACCCCGTGATCATCATGGTGCCAGAGATGCAAGTGAGGCAAGCCATAACATCATACCAGCCTGTTGTGCAGCACCTTGCCGATGTCTGCAGAGTAAGGCGTTGATCATGCTGTTCTCCTCACTCTTGGGTGTCACTGGAATGTTCTTGGCGGCATGGTTGCAGACTCTGATTGCTGAACATGCGGAGAGTAGTTGTGTGTGTGTGTGTGTGTGCGTGTGTGTGTTGCAGAGTGATTTCGTGAACTAGAGCACTGCTTGGCAACCGTCCTCCTGTCCTTGCCTCTCGACTGGTGAGCATTTTGGAAGTGCGACAAGAGCCTGTTGCCACAGAGTTGTTGCTAGCCACCGGGCTATTCTCGTGGAATTATGTCCTTCGAAAGTTACTTGGGGATTGGACATCCGTGTCTCATCACTTCTGGCATACATGCTGCACGGGCCACTCACGTTTCTACGGCTTACTCGCCCGCGACAATCTGCCACACACAGCATCCTGCAGCACAGAGGCCGTTCCGAGCATGGCGGCAGTGAAGTACTACCTGGTCTCAACCGACATGCCAGATCAGTTTCAGCATCCACTGCTAGTTGCAATCGAGGGTGATGCAACTTCGATGCAAGCGGTGCGAACAATGCAGGAAAGGATGAACGCTTGATGAGCCTGCGAGCTAAGGCAACAGGTCCCCACAAGAACTTCGTGGATCAGAAGCGCATTCAACAGCACGCTGCGTTTTGACGACAACTGGGTACAGGTCTGCTCCTGCAAGAGGCTGGCAGGCTGTCCTTGTCCAGCCCTCTTGGCAAAGCCATGGGCTGAGGCCACAACCTCCAACGCTGCCAGCACGGTTGAGCTGGCGACATCTTAGAGTGCTCTTGGATGGTCGTTTTGCTCATGGGCAATCTACTGTAGTTGGCGAGTGAGGGACGTCTGCACCCGCAGGGATACCGCCTTGGTGACTGGACATGTAGAGTGTAGAGATCCTTTCGCCGCTGGCACAGACAGAACAAGGGAGCCTCCCATGGGAAGTTTTCAACAGAGCTTCCACCTGCGTATTGCAGAGTAAAGCACGCAAGTCTAAGATTTTCTTGTGCTGACAGGCTATTTGGGCAGGTTGTACAGGAGTCTTGCTCGGTACCTGCCCGATTTCTAAGTGTCAGTTCTGTTCGGATGTGACAGAAACCTGAGTGTGCCGTTATGTCTCAGAACCTGCGAAGGATGGGTAGGTGTAGACGTTGACATGCAAAACAGCAGGCATGTGTCCGGACAACTGCGACGAGTTTCACACGCTTTGTCTGTGTGCACTTGGCAGCACAGCTCAGAAATGTGAATCAACTGAGCGACCTTGGCATCGTGTCAAGCTTGATTCACCGATTTTTCGAGGATCCTTGGCAAGTGAGATCAGTCCTTCATCGGGTCCCCTGCAGGGTTGCTGTTTCTGAGAATCCATCATGTCGTCGCCGTATGTTGGTATCCCCGTGCGCTTGTGGCGCTGAGTGGCGCAGGTACTGCAGAGCTGGTAGAGGGACAGAGGCGATTGTCGTCTGAGGTTGGGACCAGGAGCCATGGCCTCGAGCGAGAGCCAGAGCGAGAGAGAGAGAGAGAGAGAGAGTGGTTTGGTAAGGGGAGCAATCCTCTTGCCCCTAACCCTGGCGAAAGAAAAGAGTGCTTTTGTGATTTCTTCAGCCGTATGCGTGTGCATGGTTGCTTCTTGGACTGCTTCAGTCTTGCACTTGTGTGGCTGCCTGACAGGATCTTTTGGGCTCCAGAGATTTTTGGCAAGAGTTATGGTTTGAAGGCCACAAGGGGTTGCTCTTGTGAGTCGCGGAAGACTTCCATCTGCGTCCATGCTCGTGTCACGGCTAAACCGGTCTTTGGAGGTCGATGTTTGGGCCCTCGGGATCATCATGTACGGATTGCTGGATGGCCGCTTTCCTTTCAAGGCTGGCCTGGCGACGAAGAACCCCACGTGGTAGTCCAGAAGTTTTCGGTTTCCAAACATCTTGGCGATTGATGCTAACTGGCTTCTCTGAGGAAGATGATGATCGGTAATACGTATCGACAAAATAGAATGTATCTATTCGAGTCCGAGGTCTCTTAGGAGGGAAGTAGACGATTGCTCGATTTCTGTGAAAAGCTTGATCTCAGAAGGCTGTCTTACTTCATTGGCGAGCGACGAATGGTCGAAGAGTTGTCAGGACGAGCACGACATCAAGACGAAAGAGCCCAAGTATCCGAAGAGGTGCTTGGTGTTTCCAACAGCAGATAATAGCAGATACAACGATGTCCCCCCACGACGTCTTGACACCGAAGAATGCAGGCTGGAGCCTCTGTGCCAAGACTTCATCCGAGTTATGCTCTTGAAGGAGGAAGACGTGCGTGCTACGGCAGAAGATGTCATGGTGCGCCGCTGCAGTTGTCGGGACCACATTTGACATGGGCTACATGTGGCCGCCAGGTTCATCGATGGCTCTCGAACTTTGCAGGTTGCTCGCAAGCCAAGGCGCTTCCTAGAGAATGGAGGATTTGTGCTCGTTCTCTGTTGTTTGGGACTTGGAAGCGTCAGGATCAGTCCGAGGACTTCGAGAGAAGCTCAGAGTCGAGGGACGGCCTCGGCCTCGGCCACAGCCCCCGGCGCTCACTGCCTCGCAGTGCTTTGCTGTTTGCACCTCGCAGCTCTGAGGTCGGCGGAGAAGTTCCGAATCTTTGGAGGCAGACTTTCCTGCAGCACATGCTCGAAGCAGTGTTCAGTGCCCGAGGTTCCTGTTCATCAGTTCGAACACGAGGAGCCCAACTGCAGCGCAAGCTCCTCAGAGCGAGGTCGTCGAATGATGGTCTGCGTGAGTTCATGCACGTATTGGGACGTTATCGGAAGGGAATGTCGACGTATCCTGAAGAAAAGTATCGCCTCGTGCTCGGCCACCCTCGAGGGTGATCTCTCACCAAGGTCGAGAGGACCCGAAGCCAGAGTAAAGCCAGCTATTCTCCGGCAAGTTGCCTTTTCCAAAAACGTGTTCCAAATTTGTGGTGTTGTTTCAACATGGCTGCACAAGCATCCGAAGCAACTTGCTAGAGCTGTCGGCCTACGTATGCACTGCATGCTTTTTGGGACACCCCGAAAGGTGCTAGCTGCTAGCATATCTAGCATCTGACAGAAGAGGCCGCCACCAGTGTTTCTGATGCAACCAGGTTGCAGAGAGGCGGCGCGAGCTTGTGGAACGATTGAACAACGAGCACACGAAGGCAGCTGGCCTCTCAAACTTTCGGTCCGTTTCTCGGTCGACTGCAAGGTTACGAGCTGCCCAGGAGTAAGTAGTTCCACGCGTTCCGTGTGCTTCTACTAAGTCTGATTGCTTAATCGTTGGAGTCTTGACAGGGCCCCGCAGCTGTGGATTTCCTGCATTGCGCCAGCTTAACCGAGCCTGTCGCCGAGACTTCAGGGCATCAGACGCTTGAGTGAGAGCCAGGGCCATTGGGCGCTCAGGTTCTCTGTGCCGGATCGCCGGCTGCCAGGGGCGCAGTGGTTGTACCAGTGGTGGGACCGGATGCAGGCCAAGCACACACTTGGAGGCTTCGGAGCAGCTTTAAACTCTGTTGCAGGCGGAGAATCTGGGACCGCGTAGTTCAGAGGGCCAAGAGCGCAGCTTCGGCACGAAAGTCTGAAAGTTGTCCTCATGGCTTTTGGGATTTCGATTTGGCCAGGGAGTTGGACGCTTTGGGGTCAGGCTCCCGAGGCTCCGCTTTGCGCTGCCAGAAGCCCTCTGTCAATGCATTCTACCAGGGCAGGTGTCGAGACATCTCAATCTTCCTTCACTTCTCTCATTACTGCGATGACTGCACGTGCATCCCAGGCACCCTGGAGGAGGTGTCCAGAGAGCTCGACAGGCCCGTGATTTGAAATGCTGAGAGTCACCTACAAGGGAAGCGCTGGAATTCAGTATATGTTTCTTCCAGCCACGTAGGTTCTCCAGACCACAGAGATACAGCCATTTGCAGCCAGGTCGCCACACATCGTTGGCAAGATGTTGCAGGAGAGACTGTGCGAACCGCTCAATTGTCTTTTGGTATGCCTGGGTAGGAACCTAAGGTAACCTAAGTCAACTCGTGCAAAACGTTTCAATGACCCAAGGCAGATCATCCTCAGTTTCATGGACCCCTAAAAGTGCACACATTTTCCGTAGCATTGAAGCATGCAGAAGCCACGACTGCCTTACAAGAAGCCACGCCTGCCCTACAATAGCAATATCAATTCGGGCGCAGACAGCTGGCATCTGCTACCTGAACACCACAGGAAGGGTGCTTCTGAGCCACCAAGAGAACCTTGAACAGAGCACAGCCAGTGCAACTGCTGAGAGCTCAGGTAATCTTGACTTCTGTTGTAGCTTTGACGATGCTGCGACGCACTTTGCGGCTGCACTCCTAGCAGCCAGCGGCACATCCTCACAGCATCTGCATCCGAGCGCCTTATGTGCCGGAAGTGCGAACAACATCCATTGCGCGGAATAGATCACAGAAGCCAGCATCCGCGAACATCCGCTGTCAGCCGCGGGGCCGACGACCCACGGCGCTTGCATCCAAGCAGCGGTGGGGCTCGGGGTCAAGGCTGGTAGCTTTGTACTCAGATGCTTTAGTGGATCATTGGCGCCCTCTTGCGTTCCGTGTGGGCCACAACGTGCTTCACCAGCAGGGAGGTCTCGACCCCCACATCCAAAACTGAATTCTCAGCACAATTTGGTCCAGATTCCCACCTGTTCATTCGCCCACAAACAGACAAGACGTCATGGCTTCCGGGTCGATGTTTTCGAGAGCGACGTCTGGGCTTCGAGGTCTTCTGTCGCTGTTGTAAGCCCATCTGCAAGTCGAGGCCCTTCGTTTCTAGCTTTAGGCTCAACACCTCGGACTCCTCTAGCAGGGAGCCAGCTCATGCACCTCGAGCCGGTTTTCTGCATAACAGTCAATGATCGTAACGTGGAGGACGAGCCATGATGCTAATCATCTGGCATAGTTGCATGCGGACATCATCATGTTTTTTAGAGCGATTGTGCTTGTTATGTCACAAGGGTTTTTGAAACCAAAGTGTGGGGCGTCTGTTGTCTCGAGCAGTCCCATGATCAGTCCGTTTGTCGTTGTGTGAGGTGGCTGCCCCTTTCGAGAGCAACGGTGCTTTGCATTACCAAGCAACTGGGGTGGCCTCTGGCTCCCGCTAACCGACTCTTTGTGCCTCTGCCTCTCCTTCTCTCATAGTGCTGGAAGGCTTTTTTATGTTCAGCCAATTTTGGGTGAATGTTGGTAACTTCGCAATGCAGTTGTTCACCCGTGCGATGATTGCTGACTTTTTCGGAGGTTTGTTTCCTTGACAGGTAAAGAGCCTGCGGCAAGCCTCCCTTTGGCTCCGTCGTGAGCAGCAAAACCATGCAGCTTCGCGCAACGGTTTTGTTGGCAGGACTACAACATTGACATTGCGAAATTTGGCGTGGGAGAGGCAGTATATAGAGCTTTCATTGGCCATGAGTTTGTGTTCGTCGTCTTGGCGGCGACTAGTGCAGCCTGGCTGAGCTTCTCGAGACGGCACCAGGCCAAGACCCTCGAGCAGCTGGCTTCTGAGGCTTCTAGCTCGAATTCACGCCTTCTGCTCAGCTGCAGCATGTGCTGTTCCACACATTTTTGTTTTCAGGTGCAGAACGGCTCTGTGCGTTTGATGCTGGATGCGACCACTCACAAAAAACTGGTACCTGCCTGAGTCAGTGAATTTTGAATATACTTCAGGTTCCACTGACGCTTAGCGTTACTCAGGTGCGGGTGGTAGATGTGGTCTTGCTTCGGCTGTACTCCTCGTCCACAAAGGCAGGGCCTGCAGGGTTCCACGTCCATCTACCACCTCGAGAATAGTAATTAGTAATTACTGTTGTAGACCCGATGAGCTTTCTTACTTATCTGTCTTAAACTTAAAATCATCCCTGCGCATGTTGGGCTGACCCGACATTCGGGGTAGCAGGACCGCCTGTTGATCGAAGTTGGCGAGCAATATCCGGATGGGCGCAGGCCGTGTGCTCGAGCTGTTGCGAGTGCAGTCCATCTCAGCCATTCCATTCCGTCAGGCGTGCTGCCTCGCGACTTCCTGGCACGAAAAAGTTCCCACACGAGAGTTCACAGGCACGAGCAACTGAAAATGCACGATCATGCACAAACTCGCATAAAGGAATTAGGCTCCTGCACAGCACGGCTGGCGCATCCGAAGAACCGCCGTAGAATTCTGTGACTTGAGCCCGAGGAGACTGCGTTCCGGGTCTTGCAGGACCTAGTGATTGCCGCCGTTTGTGGACGGGGCCCAGGCTCATGATCGACCTTGCATCAAAGCTTCCAGGATCTTCTGGGGGTGACGGCCCGGGCAGCCAACTTTGCCTTCGAAGACACGGAGGTCTACGAGGAGGAGCCGTGCCCGAGAGTGAATCTTGCTGTGACAGGTTGAGTTTCTGACGTTGCGGGATGTGGTGGGGATTTTGGTGGCAGTGCCTGTCGGGAGACCCACATTTTCGGATCTGGTTCGAGAGCCATCCATCGTTTCGGTCCACTGGTCCTCGATATCGCCTCAGGAGATGGACTCGCCCTCCTTTCCTGGAGTTCGGACTGACATGCTGAGCGTGAGGTGAACACATGTCAGAACCTTTGCTCGGCTTCTGTGTTTAGACTCAGATTAACCAGTGCAGTGAGCCGAATCGAAACGAGAGGATACGAGAGGACGCATTGGACAGGACTGTTTACAGGAAGGAAATCATGGAGGGCCACCTGAAAGAAACCGACGAGGCTGGAAACTGCTCAGGGCGAGAAGAAACTTGAAATCGGATCCAAGTTGCTAACGACTTTGCACCTCCTTACTGCCCCTTTATGCTGAGCGGAGTGTCCACCTCGTCTCAAATTCGCGAACGGTATGGGTTTGTAGCATCGCCTCAGGCAACCGCACTGCGAATCGGGCTCTTGGAGCCTGAAGGTACCGACTGGAGTGTCCAGGACTGTTTTCCAGCATATGGTTGCCATGTGTCGAGTAAGCAAGTGTATTCCAGGGAGTCTTTAGCAGCATTCGCCTGGGCAGTCTTGTGGCGCTTGGCATCAGCTTCTCTCCGGGTACACGTCAAGTGGTGTATGCCTCTCGCTGTTGTTGGCTCTAGCATTTGCGCCTGGCACGGCCAAGCAAGCCTGGAGCCAAGAGTCGACTGCAAGGGATGTCGTCGGCTTCGAGAGACCGCCAAAATGCGGGTTTTGAGTCTCTGAGGACCTATGTTCCTCTGCTAACGGAAATGGGTTGGCGCGGGTGTGGCGCCCAAGCACTGGGAGATGGCAGAGATTTGCGACGGGGTCCAGGTTGAGAAGGAGAGCAATGTTTCTTCTGTAGCACGTGGCTGGAGTGACTAGCTTGGCTCGGCAATGGTTGGGTGACTTTGCTTCGGAGAAGACTGCCTTGAGCAAATTCGAATTTGCCTAAACTCGCCCTGCTTGGTGTAGTAGCTTCCCCAGCATCTGCTGACCGCACCCAAATGCACCACCAACGACAGGGCTGTTACTGGTAAGTCTGGTAAAAGTATAGAGTGAAGCCAGCACGGCGCCAGTGCTGTCTAGGAGCGAGCGCTACGCGGAAAAGGGTTTCGGATCAGCCACCAAAGAAAAGGTCTAGGATCAAAAGGTCCGAATCAGGCCACCAAACAGGTCGCGGATCCGGCAACTAAAAAGGTCCCGGATCAGGCCGGTACGGGGTCCGGATCGGGCCATTTGCGTCCGGATCCGGCCACTCGGGTCGGAGGGTGCTGGAAGGTTGGGGCCAAGGCTGGGGGCCCTCCCACTCCTAGTGCCCGCGCAGTTGCCGTCCTCCACCTTGAGACTTTTTCGGGTTTTTGCAATCTAGGGTTTGAAGGGTTCAGGGTTTAAGGATCATCGAGGCTTTCTGGGATTTAGGATTTTAGGGGTCTAGGCGATTAGGGATTTTGCGGCTTCAGGATTTTACAGGTTTTTGGAGCTCCAGGTATTTAGGACTTTAGGCGTTTGGGTGATTAGGGTTTTGGCGGTTTCAGTACGTTTGAGATTTTAGGCGTTTCGGTGATTAGGGCTTTTGCGCCTTTAGGATTGTAGGGGTTTAGGGGCTTGGGCGATTAGGCTTTTTGCGGCTTTAGGATTCTCAAATTTTTAGGGTTTCGGTGATCAGGATTTTCAGAACTTTGCTGGCTAGGATTTTAGCAGTCCTTGCATGTAGGTCTAGGGGTCGAGGGTTTTAGGGTAAAAAAGATACTGCTCACTTCACATTAATAACCCCCCACCCCCCGTCGATTGATTTCAGGCCCGGGTTGGGGGGAATAGACTATTGAGGGGGGGAGTCGGTCGTCGTAGTACAGAGGTACGGTATTACAATAGTACAGTAATACAGTATTACAATAGTACAGTTGTACAGTAGTACAATAGTACAGGAGTACAAAGTACAATTCTACAGTAGTACGGCAGCTAAGGGCTTGGCTTCGAAAGCTTGCTGTCCTTTTGAATACAAAGCTTTCCCAATGAAGAGCTTGGTTTCTAAAACTTGCTTTCCTTTTCCTTGCTTCTGCAGGCACCACCAGAAGGCCCTCCCTGGGAGGAGTTTATAATTGAGGGGGTTTATAATTGAGAAGAACGGCTTTTGTCAGTACTCCTTCAGGACGGATTGATTGTTTGCTGCCGGAATCAGGAGTTTAATTAAGGAAGCCATGGTTTCTGAGATCATGTAAATCTGCGGCTTCGTTGTCCCGTTTCTTGTAAAGCAAGCTTTCCCAATGAAGAGTTTGGGGCTTCGAAAGCTTGCTGTCCTTTTGAATGCAAAGCTTTCCCAATGAAGAGCTTGGTTTCTAAAAGCAGGCACCACCAAAAGGCCCTCCCTGGGAGGAGTTTATATTTGAGGGGGGGTTATAATTGAGAAGAACGGCTTTTGTCAGTACTCCTTCAGGACGAATTGATTGTCTGCTGCCGGAATCAGGAGTTTATTTAAGGAAGCCATGGTTTCTGAGATCTTGTAAATTTGCGGTTTCGGACTCCCGCAGTAATTACAGTCTGTTTGCAATACTGGAGCGGTCGTAGTAATTGCAGTTTCTCTCTCTGCAATTGAGGGGGGTTTGCAATCGAGTTCCGGGGGTTCGGGTTTTTATTGATTGAGGAGGGATTTATAAAAGTGAAGTCAACATTAAAGAGGAATGTACGGTCACTTCAGGTTGTAAAAAAGCGGCACGGAACTCGAAGCTATCCCTTCTTCGTGCTAGAAGATCCACCTCGTTCAACCAGACTGTCTGTGGGTTTCGGGGTTTAGGGCTTAAGGGGTTTAGGGGTTTATGGTTTCGGGTTCAAGGTGTTTCGGGGTTTTGGAGGTTTTGCGGTTTGGGGGTTGGGATGGTTGGGGCGGTATGGTATGGTGCGGTGGGGCGGTTGGGGTGGTTGGTATGACGGGCCGTTCCCACGAGCCGGTTGGGCTTTGGGGCCCTCCCCCGCCCGGGTGGGCTGGGGACGGTTGGTACACTGGCGGTTGGGATGGTGTGGGGCGGTCTGATTCGGATTTCTCTTTTGTGGCTTGATCCGGACCTTTTCAGTGGCTTGATCCGGACCTTCCGAAGTGGCCTGATCCAGACCCGTACTGATACGTGCTGCAGCCGTCCAGAAGCACAGCATGCCCAAGTGCTGTCACTATTGTTCCCTCAAAGCTTTAGATTATTGAAAAGCGACGCACTCTGGATTTGGCTGACTTCGGGTAGTTTTGTAAGCCTCGCTCATGTTCAGGGCGTGTGGCAACCAACCACCGAAAAAATAATTCCTGACCAGCCGAGGTGACGTCCTGTCGCCTTGGCCACAGACGGCCTGAGCAGCAAGAGTAGTTGACTAATTGTGTACGACGGAGAGCAGAAGTACGTACGTTCGATTTTAGAGAAAAAATTCAGCCTCCATATCACGCAAACAATGAACAGTCTCCAACCAAGACAGCTGGGAGATTCGTGGATTTGAGAGCACGTGCAATGAAACCTGGAAGACAGCTGATGTCCTTTGCATAGATAAGTGCATACTTCTTCAGAGCTGCGTCTTGCAACTGCACGCCGGCCGACCGCGTGCGGACGGGAATCTGCGCAGCAGACTCAGACGTCACAGCGTTGCCGGCCACACCAATGCTGCTCGTGTGTTCTGTCTTTTTGTGGTGCCTAAGCCTGGTCCGAGGTCCTTGGAGAACACCTGGATGCCCAGGAGAGCACAGAGTTTCCTGGCTTCGTGTAGCGTCAGCTGGTATTTTTTTTGGGTAAGGCGCGGGTGGGGGTGGGTGCGTGTCCCACAGTTTTTTGCCCAAGTGCTCGCCTCAGGTCATGCTGTGTCGGCGTCTTGGAAGTTTGCTTGCGCAGGAAAACCCATAATTACTTCTTCAGAGACAGAGCGGGTCGCTTGCCCTCCCTCCTTTCCATCCATCTGAAGACCCAGGGCTATGCTTCTGTTGCTCCTCCCTTGGCGCTCGTGGCAATCGGCCTCGCCCTTAGCAGTGGAGTGCGAGATGGTCTTGCGCCCGTGAACGCCGTTTGGCACGAGCAGTGCCGTTGTGATAGCAGCTGGTTGAGAAGTGTTGGTTCCAGTAGGTACAAAGACGCATCTCGGTTGTGGATATGCCAAGGACGAGTACGACGAAAACATGAAAGTGTACTGGTCTGTTCCGGCTAATGATGCCATCATGCGATCTACTTTGAACGGATCGGATTTGGAGCCAGAAGCCAAGACAGAGAGGAGTTTGTCAGTTGCAGTTCCAGCATGCTACCGTGGGCAGCAGCCGGTAGCAGCATGTGACATGCCGAGGATTTGTCCACCATATGTAGTTATCTTTCCACTGAGGATCTATCGGAGCGGGCTGACGAATCCATATGGAGTCGTGGTGGACAAGCCGACTGCGACGTATTCCCGACCTTTGTTATACACTTGTTTCACGTGGCTTGGTGCAGTAGGTGCGGATGCATGAAAAAGTATGGTAGGGCAATGTCGTGGCAGGATCTATTGGTCTGCTCAGCAGGCGATTCAACGTGCTTGGCTTCCAGATGACAGCGGCGCTGTAGAGGATTCTTGTGGCGCGAGACATGCGGCATCAAACGTTCCAGGGCTCATTGCGGCATCGAAGCCTCGAAGTGCAAATGATGTTTGGTCTCTGACACGAACGACTAGTAAGTCTTCGGTGCAGGACTGGGTCAATGCGTCTGCAGGCCATTTATGCTTCACGAGCTGCCGGGTGCTTGCACAAGTATTGCACAAGCTGCCTGAGAGTTCGACGTCTTGCCAGGACTTCGATCTCCCATGGGCCTAGCGCAGCAGCCTGTGTCACTGTGTTGTGTGGGGCAGTGAATTGGCATGAGCGGAGCGAGGTTGGATGAGAAGAATCGAGTTCTCTACTGGGCGGATCAGACCTTGGGAAAGGCACGCTGCATTGCTTGATAAATCGGAAGCTGGAGAAGGCAGGCACGATCATGGACCAACGAATAAACACCAATGTTGCGATGGCGGGAGTCGGTGTTTACAGATTTGGTTTGGGTCCAACGGGACTCCACGGGGCCGCAGTTCCTGATACTCCAGGGATATCAGAGCGTCAGCACAGAGGGAGCCGGGGTCGGAGCACCGCTCTGCTCTGAAGGTCTTTGGTGAAAGCCTGCCCTTTTCTTCAAGAGAATGCCAGATTTCATGTATCGGCCGTATGTTCAAGAGTGCTGAGAAAAGCTTTTCCCAGAAATGCAAACAGAAATAGAGAGTGGGTCGAGGTCAACGGGCTAGAACACAACTTCGTTTCAACGAGGAGCAGAACTGGAGTGAGCTTCTTTGCACTCCGACAGCAACATCTTATGAGACCACACCAAAGACGCCAAGGGGAAATACATATTCGTTGTTGAGTCTTGTCGTGCCAAAGGGAAGGCAACCTGAAGACAAAATGATGAGGCGACGAGGCGGCTAGAAGTCGCACAAAATACAGCGGAGGAATGGAGAGACGGCGAAACAAAGAGCGATCATTTCCCGTGCAACCTTTGCATATGAATCTATGACCTGGGCAGATTCAGCGAAAACCCCTTGACGGCGGGTCGAGACCTGAGCCAGCTGGACCATTGCAAACCCGTCGCACTCATGATCTACTGCGTGGCTGTGCAGACTAGTTAGATGCAGCACAGGCCAATAGAAGACGTGGCAGACAACATCGAAGAGCCTAGCGGAGTTGCGGTGGATGCGGAGGGTGGCCAGGCTTGACACATTTCAGTTGTGAGCACTTGTTGGCTGCACTGCGCTTCGCTCGTTGATGCGAGCAAGACGAAAACGTACGTGTGATCGCACTTTTGGATATTCGGTTGCAGCTGTGCCGTCGGTGCAGCCATTGATTCCATGCCAGGTCTGCGCGCCGACCATCATGAGTCACACTTCACTTGTCACCTTCTTGCAAAAGTGCCGTTGAACAAAGCAATGCCCCGATGGCACATAGGCAACGTTGCATGCAGTACCCCAGCTTGTTCCAACGAATAGCCCTTCAGCGTGTGCATAAAAACTTTATTGGGCACCGGCGAGCGCAGGAGGAAGGCCACTTCAGACGAAACGGGTAGAGCTGGCCAGGTCTTCTTCCTGAGCTTTGATTTAGGAATTGCCGGCGCCTCCAGTTTGATGAGCTCCTGCTGAGTTTCCGAAGTTTCACTGAACTGGACAAAGGTGTACGGCCGCGACATCGACCTCTCAGACGACAAGTACGAGGTAGACCTGCTTTGTCAAGGGCAGGGCTTCCCGAGTTCTGCAGTCGCGTTTTTATCTCGGAAGGAGACTCAGCCTACCTAGGAACGTAGCACGTTACTCCCACAGCCAAGCGCCATTTCACAGGTGGCCACCACGTATTCTCCGTATGGAATTGTTGTGGATGCGACCAATGAGAAGCTGCTTGGCCTAAGTGTCGTAGAGCGGGCAGGCAACATGAACAGACGTCTAGACACTGGCAGATGATCCAGATCCATAAGCCCAGATTTAGCGAATTTCTGTAGAGCTTCCTCGTGGACAGGCTGTACTGGTCGAGCCGATCTGACAACGAGATTCAGCGCTCGAGACTCGAGTCCCGTCAGCCTGGGATCTGCTTGAACCGCTTGAACCCCGCTTGACCCGTGGAGTTGACCAACTCTGCATATTCCCAGCATGCCTGAGGCTGGGACATAGGCTTCCTTGGCCAAGCTCCCGAGACTTTCCTGTCTGGCCGGACGCCCTCTTGAACAACATCCCAAGCCAGCCCGCAAAGTTGAGCTTTCTCAAAACCTTTCAGGTTTGAACAAGCCAATGGGGCTCACCATCGAGCCCGCATCCTAGAGTGGCCTGAGAGGTTTGTCAGTCCCGACTTGGCGCATCGCTTTTGATTTGGTATGCTTCGTTGCCGTACCTTACCTGCAGTACTGTGGTGAGCAGAAGTTCACCGAGCTCAGCTTTGAAGTGATGTGTGAGAAAGCCCGGACTGGCTCAAGTGTGAAGAGGTTCAGTCACACATGAACCTCCCACCCACCCACTCGGGCAGCCGACGCACTCACATGAATATATGTACATCTGTATGTATGTGCGTATGTGTATATGTATGTCTGTATATATATATATATAAATAAATAAATAAATAAATATATATATATATATATATACATATATATATATATATATATATATATATTTTTCTATATATATATATATATGTATGTGCAGGTGTGTAAATATGTGTATAGACATATGCATATAGACAGGTAGATAGATAGCTAGATAGATAAAGGCAGACAGGCAGATAGATAAATGGTTAGTGTCGTGCGTTATACATGCGTACATGCACAAACATAACCCTTAGACTGGCGCCTTCTTTGTTTGGCACGGCCAGGGGCATCATCAGCTGTACGACACGGCCTCATGCACATCTGACGTGCATTTGTATATGAGCGATGCAGATTGGCAGTAGACGAGACAGAGACATGAGCAGCGATGAGGCCTGGACTGACAACCATGGCCGGATGAGTTTCACATGCTGCCTAAACGAATTCCTTGTGACTTCCACTGAGTTTTCTGATTTAACACGCCAGGAGATGGCACCAACTTCGTGCAACATGGACACCACTTGCGAAAGGCCTTGCGGTGAGCCTGCTGCACACATTAAGTGAGATCTGAGCGTAATCGCGCCATGGCTGTGTTGGGAACTGTTTGCGTGCTTTGCTGCAACTGTTCACAGAAGCCAGGTGCGTCGCGTGGGCGAGTCGTGTTGTTGCTTGATGTACTCAAATCTTTACGATCGTTGGGCTGTTCGTGTGTAGGTGAGACGCCCGTTGCGGTTGGTCCACACAGCTTCGTATTGGTTGATGCCAGCAACAAGCCATAGTGACCATAGTGCCAGCTGTTGCCAGACCCTAAGCAAGATCCTGTATGTGCGGGTTTACTCTGTGGGATGTGGGCATGCCTGCCTCAATTTTGTGGAGGAGTGCCGATGCCGTGAAGTTCGACTCCTCTCGAGGCATCTACCCCGAGAGCATTGCCGCTATCTGAGCTTGCCAAGGCTATTCAAAGTCGTGCAGACACCTCACAGTGGACTTGTTGTGCACATGTACAGGCACTCAGGGTCCTCCAATCCTTGCAGGAGTAGGAGGACACACGACAACAGGTAAGCAACTCATGACGGCAGATCGCAACAGCGCTCGACAAAGCTGGGCTGATTATGTAATCAAGCCCTCGGCACTAAACGATACCTCGTTGTACCGTTGTGTGCCTTCAGGTCTGGACATGGTTGCCAGGATGTACGCAGTGCTCGGCAGGAGCCAGAGTTCTGAGAGCATTGAGTGTGGCAGGTGTTTACCCCGATCGAATGCAGTGAAGGATTGGTTGGTCACATGGGCATCACAAACTCGCGCGGAGAGGCTCCGCGGTTGCCACGTGGCCTGACTCCACTGCAAGCTGCAACGAGGTCTTCGAATTCGTTGGCACCGGTGCCGACAAAAACCATCCCGGGCAGCTATCTGTTTGCAATTAGCTTTATTGTATCGTTGTGTGTCTATGCCTCGGTTTAGGATGATTATCATGTGACTGGATGCAGCCAATGCAGGCTGGCTTTTGGGCCCATCATCCGCTATGTGCCCTTGCCAAGCAAGCTCGTTCGGAGGCTGGATGGACTTCATTTGTGTTGAGAGTACAGCACTGCGTTGCCTGCAGGGGCACCTGCGACGAAGGGATCGCACGAGCCATTGAGAAGTACCAGAACCTGAGTTGCCATCCATTCAACAACTGTGCGCCGACAGAACTACCAGCTGCAGCCATCCTGCAAACTAAACCGGACGTCAGGCCACTGCTTCGTGGCTGCGTGTCTGGACGAGATGCGCTTTCTGGGCTTTCCTTGTTGGGGCTGTTTTTGGCGGCTTGACCTTGTGGTGGAAAGCCAGCTTTTGTCTTGCAGGGTAGGCTTGCGGTACTTTCATGCTGCCTGTCTCAGGTGGGTGCTGGCGTTGATGATGCTTGGCACATCTGGTCTGTACTTCTACATCTGTGCAGCCTTGCCTGACATCGGGTTCAAGATTTGCTGCAGTCGTCGTGAGTTGCAACCAAGGGTTTGGGTGTGTGGCCTGTTCCCTGCCAGATGGTCCACAGGAGTCTGTAAACTGTTAAACTTGTATTGAGAGTGCTTGTTCCTCCGACTGGCCTGAATGCGGCGCTGCAAATAGTTATACTAATGCCAGAGCACGTATGAAGTCAGTCTGCCTGCACGTGAATCAGAGCGGGGTTATCGTCAGCACACTCGATGCTGGAGTGCAGGAGTTTGCCTGCTGTCCACAGTAGTGCTGACTGGAGCAGCCTTCCACTCAGGTTCATCTCAGGTTCCTCAGGAAATTAGCATGAAGAGTCCATGATGAACAGTCTCGGCTTCAGGTGCTCGGAGTGGTAGCATTCACCGGAAGTGGAAGCTGACTGAGTCGGGTCACACGAGACCCCGACAGTGACGTGCAGAGGCTTGTCGGTCCCTGGCCGAAGTTTCATGCGAAAAGGCTCCAAACGCGACTTGCCTGTCACGATGTGTTTACTGTCATTCGGCGATTGAACCAAGTGCTTACGCAAGGGATATTTTTTTGCCTTGCGATCTGTTTCACCCTGCTCATGTGACAGGATGTGAAAAAATCAAGTCCGACAGGTTAGAGGAATGAGGTGGGATCTTGATGCGTTACCCTGACTTGGTCTAAGCTTCAAGGGAGAATCCTGCAGACCTGTTGACCTAACGACCCCTTCCATCCCCTTCCTTTCCCGCGCCCAGTGCTGATGCCGGGATGCTCTACTGGGTTTCCGAGGGCACCCAGATGCCTGGAGCCTAGCATCAAGCCTGGACTGTAATGCATCTTAAAACTGGGGAACCACTTGAAGCAACGTTGTCAGGCACTCCACTTTGTAAAGAAGCGGTTTGCCCGTGCAGAACGGAGTGCAGCAAAGGCTTCACCGCGCCGCCTTGGACGGTTCTGGAGGTGTCGAAGATCTTGCGTCCCGTCCTTACCACCGCAGACCTGTGACGTGTCCATTGCAAGTAGCGTAGAACATCTGCGGCAAGGCCTGCTGCCGAGGGCTTGGCAGTTCCATACTACTTGTCGGCAGCACACCCAGTTTTGTTCAAGCAAGAAGAATCTCGACGGGGAGATATCTGCCCGGCAAGCGCGCGCTGAACCTGCGGCCCGCTGCACTCAGGTAGGCTACTACGCCGAACTCGAGGTAGCTCCAAGCACAACCACAAGTACACGGTCTTCTGCGACCACCAGCTCATCCACCATGAGTGCCACAACAGGAACTGCTACATCTTACACTGTCACAACGTCCACCGATCCACACGCCACTATCACCAGCACCACATCGACAACTTTAGTTTCCAGCACCACCACGTCGAGAACCCAGACGCGCAGCAGAACATCGACGGAAACAACAACTTATACTACAATTTCGTCAAGTACAACACTTTCATCCACAGTCACCACGCTCTCCACTTCGACAACCACGACCACAAACACAGTGAGCACAATTTCCTCGAGCACGGACACCACAGCCAGCTCAACCACTAGCTCACGGACTTCAGCAACAACCTCTACCTCAAGCACGACCCGCACGTCTGCAGAGCTGACGCTGACCATCACCACAACCCTTTCCAATACCAGGAGTACAAGCTACACAACTTCCACGACCACTTCTGTGACGAGTCTGTCCACCACGCCCCCATCAACAATCGCCGTCAACACATCAACTTCCTCGACGACGCGGACCGAACGGACTTCGACCATGCCTTCGATCACCGCTACGACCACGTCCTCGAGTGCGTCCACAACCACGACTTCGAGAACCAGTGCGGGCACGAGCACAACATCGAGCGACTTGTTGGAATTGTCCAGCGATCACTGACCAAAGGGCTTGGGCTGACTCTGAGGTTCTTCGTCAAGCACAACAACTTCAAGCTCGAACGAACCTAGCGTGCAGCATATTCGGCAAATGTTTCATTGAATCTGGGCCCACTGCTTGCAGGCTGCGCCAGCAACCCATGTCGCAAGGTTTTTTTGGCACTGACGTCTGGAAATGAGAAACAACCCAGCGTCTCTGACCTTTCTCCTGCAGAGGTATACATGCATGTATGTACATAGTCCACCTATGCATAAGTAGATAGGTTTGGTCGTCAGGTTTTGTAGACCCGAGAACAGGTGGTAAGGTCGCCACATCAGTTGGTGATTGTGCGGCTGCCTAGGAGACTGGCTTCATCCTGCCCTTGGCGCCGGTGTCGGTCCGGACCTCGAAAGCCAAAATGCAAAAAGAAGAAGAATGCAATTGCGCTGTTCTCTTGGGCAATGGCACGAAACCCCATGTGCTTTCCGGCTTTCGCGTTTTGGCCCTTGTTCCCCCAACAAAACTCAGGAGATTATTGGACATCTCTAAACAAGGTGTCCCGAACTGATGCCTATGTAGACTTCCCACGATCTCTCGAGGCTTTGGAGGAGGACAGCTTCGTGACTGCCGCAGTCGTGGCAGTCACCTCTGGGGTGGTCTCCCTTTCTGTCTTCGTGGCAGGACCGACATCGTAAGGCTTCCTGGCAAGAGTGAGTAGGCTCTTGAGACTGGGTCTGCTTTTTGAGAGGAGTTGTCATCCTCAAAAAGCTCGGAATGGTACAACCAAGTGCGAGCCCAAATCGACAGCTTTCCGTTGTGCTGCTGGTATGAGAGACTCTGACAAGCAAGTTTTTGGATCTGACTTAACTTGCAACAAGGTGCGCAGCTTGGTGCAAGCCTTTGCAAGCGGCTGGCACCATCCGCCCTGAACGGGTTGGCCACGCGGAACTTTTTCCGCCGGTGGCGCAGACGATCAACACTCGTGGAGGTCAGGCATGCCTCACACAGGGCATTTTCGACATGTTTTCGTGTACGTAGTTAGTCGAAGTCTACATCGTTGCATGTTATGATGTGGTGAAGTGCGATTGGCTTGCATGACGACATGTAGTGGCGTGCGTGCTTCTCTTGTCTTGCTTTTGTTCTAGCATGGTGGCAGGAGATTCCGGGCAAGACAGATTTGGGACAAGATCCTTCCAAGGGCACAGAGGATGAGCAGGCTCGCACCGACTGGCCGGTTCCGTTTCAACGGAGAGCGAATCGGCCTTACAGGCAGAGACACCGAGAAGCAAGGCCGACTCTGATGTCAAGGAGGGCAGCCTCCGCAGCGTTGCAAAGAGGCCATTCCCGCTTCCCCGCCGGCACGCTTCGCCAATGTAAGTTTTGGGTGGTGCGGAAAATTCTATATGAGCTTGTTCAGTGCTGCAGGCATATGTCTTTTGTCTGCACGTGATTGTCAGCGCGGCATTGTTCTGCTAGGCCCAGCCACGGTGAGATGCAGGCGCGAATGTTGACAAGCGATATGTCTTGGGGGTGACAGATTTGGCCGCTCTTGCCGTTTGTTTGAGGTTCCAGAGACTCCTGTGGACATAGAGGAGCGAGCCTTCATACTTGCTGTAGTTGCCGAGCATTACGACTCGGTGTGATTGGCCGATTAGCCTTTGTCCTGCGTTTAGGAGCCGCGTTGGTCCACTGATGCTGGAGACGGCTTTCTTCAATCCTTGCAGGAGTGATACGCTCGCCAAATTGTGCTTCTACCTAACTGCTACGGGTAGCACTGCGCTTGTATGCATGCATCCAACGCGTGCTGGTGTGTACATATATATATATATATGTATGTATATACATACATACATACATACATACATAAAAACATATACATATACAGATGCATGTGCATATATATATATATACATATACATATACATATACATATACATATACATATACATATACATATATATATATATACATATACATACATACATATATAATTTTTCGATGCCATCAACACCCGTGCACAGGTAGCTATCGCCATCAACCGTCAGCTTCGCAAACAATGTGGAAAGCAACATGTTTGCCAGCTTCGGTCTGGAAACTTGTGTGTCTGCCACATAGGACGCCGGACGCTTCCGAGAACAACGCTTCAAAAAAACTTGTCACCGCAGAAGGTCGATTGCAGAAAGCACTGTTTTTTTGTGTGAAGCACGGTAGGTGCAAAGGGACATGCGTGCGATAGACTCGACTTTGGAAACACTTGTGTGTCCGTAGCGCGGGACCAAAGTCGAGGCAGATTTTGAGTTAGTGCTTTCCAGCTATGTCGGTTGCTGGTGGTCCTTTGGATGTGGCTTTCGCATTGGGTGCCTTGCGGATCATGGGGCACTTCAATAGCATGCCTTGGGATCAGGCTTTTGATTACATGTTCGAGGAGTACTGCCACGCGGCGATACAGCTGGATTCATCCCTGTCTCCTACAGGACGTATGCGACTTAGGCCCGTGCTTGATCTTTTGACTGCACTTCGCGTTGGGGCCTCGGAGCCTGTGGGCACTGGTGTTTTGCACAGAGGGGCAGTTGGCGCTCTTACTTATCAGCAGTGGGCTCAGCATTATCCTCAGGATCGGGTGAAACTCATGAGGTGCCTCCCCAACCTCCTTTTGTTGAGCCGCCCGGGCGGACCATTCGAAGGGGCCGTCCACTTCCTTCAGGATCTACTTCAGCAAGGCTCCGAGGACCCGTGCTTGCATGAGTGCTTGCTGCCGTTCCCCTCACCGGGCTTCTGTCAGCAGCATCATGGCTCAGGAACTTTGGGATAGGCTTCGGGCCACGGGGCTTCAGCCCCTCGCCACCCTTTTGTATGACCATGGAGTCCGCCATGTCGCTGACATCCTGCCTAACGTGCCCGCACTGTTGGCTGCGGGCGTGCAGGCTTGGCAGCTCGAGACGTTGATTCGTGGGAGCCTCGAGGTGGTTCCCGTCCTTCCGTCAGCTCGTCCTCGGAAACGTTCTTGGGCCGCGGCCCTTGAAGCAGCCCGCCCCGAGAAGAGACAGGCAGCACTGGACGCATTGCAGGCCGACGTGCTGGCTGCCAAGACCCGTTCCTCTGTCGACAGCAGGGTTCGTGCTTGGCAGGAGTTGTGCAGGGCTTGGGAACGCGCTCCCTTTCCCTTAGTCCCCGCTACCGTCAAGTGCGTCGGCGCCAGCCTTAAAGCGGGAGGATACCATTCCTGCTCCTTGTATTTTGGGGCGGCGGTCGGCCACCAGATGCGCACCTCGGGCGCGCCCATCGGAGAGGACGTTCGTTGGACCATCAGAGACACGGTGCGTGCCATAAAGCCCGGCCTCGGGCCGGCCCAGCTCAAGGACAGTTTTGACGTGGAGCTTCTCGCTTCTTTGATTTCTTTCACCAAGGAGGAGTGCTTTGAGTTTCACCTTGGGGACCCGGCCGCCGAGGCCGACATGGCTCTCATCTCAGCTTGGTGGATGCTACGTGAAATCGAGACTTCGAATGCCAGAGCCCACCACTTTTACCTCACTAAGGATGGGGACTTCTTGGCGCATCTTCTTGTGCCTATACCGAAATCTGAGACCTCCGGCCAGCTGACAGTTCGGTCCTACTCCTGCATTTGCCGCGTTCGCACTGAACGCCTCTGCCCCTACCACGCGGCTGAGCGTCACTTGCGTAGGATCCAGCTGCTCAAGGAGACCGGCGTGGAAGTGAACTTCTTGTTTCCCGCCGCCGATGGCAAGCCCCTCGCCAAGCACACGGTGATCAGCGTCTTCGAACGGGTCATTTCAGCAGCCGGGGTGCCGCTCACCAGGAGGGATGAATGTGGCTGAGATGTCCCCAGATTCCACGGACATGTCATGAGGGTGAGCGGCACGCAGTTCCTCGCACCCATGGGTTTGAGCGTTCCCATGATTCAACTGCAGGGCCGTTGGAGCAGCCGTGCCATCGATAGGTACGTGCAGCTGGCGCCCCTCCTTCGGAAGCCTGACTCCGTGCGCTTGGCCAGGACACATGGAACCCGAGATCCGCATGGACCTTTGGCCGTGTCCTCTTCGGCTGGCTCGGCTGAACCGATCTTTGTGGGGTCGCCCGGCCAAGGACCAGCTCCCCCTCCCGCGCATGATGTGCCGGCCATTGACTTGACCAGGGAGGCCAACGAGCACGGCGCATCGGTGACGGCAGCCGAGGTTCGCGACGAGCTCCGGAAGTTCATGAAAGCGGTCTTTGAGCCGAAGGAGATGCTTGTTGTGCAGCCCCGTCGCAAGGTATCGGGGTACCGGAGACGACCAATGATATAGGACATTGGCGCACAGCTTGCGGTTGGGCGTACGGATGGTCCCATTTCTACCGGACCCATCGGGACGCTCTTGGTGAGGCACTTCGGCTTTGCAAGCGGTGTTTCCCGGAACAGGCCGCAGGAAGCAGCTCATCGTCCTCTTCCTCTTCTTCTTGCTCAGCATCCGATTCCAGCTAGAAGCGCTGACACCGATGGCCGCACAGTTTTGTATCTGAGAGTGCGGTTCGATTTTGCTGCTGAGTCAAAGGGGTTGCTCTCTTCCGCGCGCTAGCTTTGGGTTGTGTGCTGCGAATTGTGCCCTGTCAGGACCTCCTCTCCTCGACGACCCCGAGCTCCACGACATCGTCTTCGAGCACGGGTCGTTTGACCCAGCTGGATTGAAGCGTCGGGCTTATGACTGGTCGCGTGAGACCTTTCATGCCCGCTGTGCGTCATGCGTGTGTGGCGCCAGGTTTTTGGTCGAGCTTGGCGCAGCAGGTCGCCCAGCTCAGCTTTCCGGTGCCCCCTTTGGGTCCGAGCACTGACGTTGTGAGGCCCGACCGTGCCAAAATCCCGGCTCCACTGTGATGCTTCGTGGTTGCCTTGGCTGTGCACCCCTTGCTGACGCAGTCATGTTCACAGAAGTTCACAGGTTGCATCTGAACTGCTTGTGTGGGTCGCGCCTTGTTCGTGCTGAGAGCAAGCCTCGCCCGTGTGCAGCTTTCGGCCCCGACGTCCTCTTTAGGTGCCGCTCGCTGTTGCATCATGGCTGGCGTGGGCGGCCCAGCGGACACACTCGAGAGCTTGGCCAACTCAGCCGGTGTGTCGGCTTACCTCGTGCGGTACCTTACTGCGAGGGGCCTGGTGAGCATTGGGGCAGTTGCTCTCCTGGCTGCGACGGCTGAGGAGTTTTCCAGGACCCTGATCGAGCCCCTGGCTTTGGGCTGTGGCGCTCCTCAAGGTGGCGGCCGACGAGCTGCCGATCGCCAAGGCCACGCTGCTCTACCTGCGCGAGCTCTGTGTTGAGTCGCGCCAGCGAGTTGCGGCGGCTCTGGCCACCCAGGTACCGGCATCCGCTCCGATGCCTCAGCCTTCTGCTGCATCCGTGGCCAAGGCCCCGACCAGGCGAGTGGCACAAGATGGTGACCCGCTACAACAAGCAGCAGCTCGGAGGACGTGACAGAGTTTTCCCGGAAGCCGAGTTGGTGGGGGCCGAGGGCATCATTGCGAAGGCTCTCTTCGAGCACGAGGTCAGCAAGCAGTACACAGCACTGCCCCTAGGAGCCATCCTACAGGCTCGCAGGTTTTCTCCGAGTGGTGAGCTGAGCTCTCTTTCTCGCCGCCGCTCGGAGTCCAGAGTGAGGGTCACGGCGGATGGCGAGTTCCAGACCGAGACGGCCGAGGACTGCTGGGATCCGAGATCCCTCCTCTCCATCCTGGACGGGATGCGGAGCATCCAATAGCTGTGGGTGCTGATTCAGCTCGGCGACGAGGTGGACATCATGTACTTTTTCGCCGCCCTCGAGAAGAAGTTGCGCGGCGTCCCCAGCAAGCTGCACCAGTTCAAGGTCTACTACGAGACAGTGGCGTGGCGACTGGCACAGGCCATGCGGGCCAACACCTCGTTTCAGCAGGCCTCGCGGGAGATCCTCAGTGACACCGTCCTTTGGCAGGAGACCATCGCCAAGGACGCACCCGCAGCAGCCAGCGCCCCGGATAAGACCAAGAAGCGGCCAGTATAGGAGCCGACGAAGAAGGGCGCCCGGCCTCCCAAGCAGACGGCCACGCAGAGCGACTACACCGGCCGCCGCTCGGACTCCAGAGGCCAGCAGTGTCAGCAGTGGAAGCGCGGCTGGGATGAGGCGCCCGCGGGAGATGGAAAGCAGCAGTGGTACCCCAACAAGACGTGGAGGCCGGACGCGGCCCACAAGAAGAAGGATGAATGAGAAATCGTGGGGACCTCCCCCACGCACGATGGGGCGGGGGGACCCGATGGTGACGATGACGTCGTGCAGTCATCTTCTTCGGCCACGCTGGCCCGGCCTAAGGTTAAGGCCATGCCGAAAAACCCCGGCCAGTTTTCGCAAGGAGGCATCGCCCAAGGCAGCCCCGGAGGAGCCCGGCATTATCCTCCTTTCCTTCTTCGACGGCATGGGTACGGGCGCTCTTGCAGCGCAGGACCACGCACGCATCGTGATGATGCTTGCGTGGGAAGTGGACCCACAGGCCATAGCGGTGTGTCAGGACCACTTCCACAAGGTCGTCAGCCACCGCGGGCCCGTGCAGGATGACAGCGCCGCCGACGTAGCGAAGGTCATCGAAGGCCGCGACCCGGCCAAGGTGCGCACCGTTGTGGTGTTGGCTGGTCCGCCATGCCCCGACTTTAGTCGGATCCACGACGGCCCCGGAAAGGACGGAGCCACTGGACATCTTTTCGGCTGT